TATTATTTGACTAAAAACACCATTGGTTAAGCTTCCTTCTTTTGATTTCCTTCATTATCATCAATCTTTATTGGCTACAATTGAAGATTTGAAAGAAAGTATTTTAAGATGTCAGACTACATCAAATAACTCAAAGGCCATTTGAATTTCCTCTATCTTCGAGAGTTTTATTAGTTTTATCTCACTGCAACATTTAGTTGAATCATATATATATATAATATTATAACTTATTCATTGAACTTTATATTATTATTCACAAATTCTAAAAAAAAAAAAAAAAAATTATACCCAAATTTGCAGATTTTTACACAAACCCTTAAATTATTTTTAACTGTAATTGTCCAAATATCCATTTTATGCAGAACTAATTTTAATAGGGACAGTAATTAACATTGTTCATTTGTCGATACATTATACCCCTCCAACCAGGCCAATAACCATTTTGGTAGGAACTACAGATCTTGCTTTTATAAACTTGACTAAAACTAAAAATAATGAATTTATGAAATTGCTTGCAAGTATGGTAGGCATGTGTCCGAAAGTGCTCCTTCAATCAGTTACGGGTGTTTTCCAATAGAGAAGAAAGAACCGTATTTTAAAAGAGAAAAATTGACTGATTTTGAGCGAGAAAATCAATTGTAGCAAGATAATTAATTGTTCCTTCAATCTGAGAGTTGGATGAGAAAGAACTGTAAGATGCATTTTTAGTCCAACGATATCGTATTCATTAGTTAATTAAATTGTTAATGTGGCACCTTAACAACTGTAAAATTAAATACTTGTAAATGTTTGGAGACAAATTTCCTTGGAGAGGATCCATTGCCTCCGAGTGGTAGAATTTTACTTTAATCACTATAATTAGTTCACAAATTTAATGAGAGAAAATAAAAAGATTAGTTTCTAAGGCGTTTTCGTGATTATAATGGAGCAACTTTATTATTATAACGTGGCCCATCTAGAATTTTTTTTTATTTATTTTAAATTTTTCTGGATAAGTATAGTATCATTATTTCAGTCTTTCTTTAACTTTGTTTTTAATTTATTAAAATATCATATTTTAGAAAACAAACGAACCACCAATTTTTTTTTAACAATATTCTAGGTTAGGATTCTAAAAGGAAATAAAGCAAAAATACTACAATTGTATATTGCATTTTTTATTTATCCCCACTCCCAAATATTTTCAAGGATAAATAATACATTTTAGTTACATTTAAGCATGAAAGAAATGATAATAAAAAAAACCTGTTACACCATAAATTATTGGGTAATCGATCTCATCCAATAAAATTGATTTTTTTTATAAATAAAAAAATATTTATTATTTATATATTTTTAAAAAATTATTTGCGTCTAAGTAGGAATTGATCCTAAGATTTAATACTTTATGATCCACCAAGACCAAAATTGTTGAATTAACGACTTCAAATTATTGCGTTGGCAATCTAAACGCACAGAATGACACCGAACAAATAGAAAAACATGAAACGACCATGAACTCAAATCCTTTACTCTAATTTTTGGTGTTATAGTGGTACTATCGATTTTCAACACCATTACATATGTTTTGATCAACACATTTTACATTCACTTTTTTTCAGCCAAATATAACGTTTTAAAAATTAAGCACACGAAACTTATTAAAAAACAAATGTAACATGCTGAAAGGTATTCATCGGCGGACGGTATGATAATTGATGCCTTGAAACGTTTTTGACACTATTGAATATATTACTATATTTGGCGCGACCGGCGCATTGGCATGGGTCACTCTGTATGACCACAAGCAACCCACATGAATAATGTGAACTAAATTATAGCCTGTAATATATAAAGCAATGCATTGCATAAATTACCATATACCTCATCATCGTGGACTCCATTCTAAGCCATTCTATTTTATTATTGCCAACCAACTTCAGCCAATTAATAATTATATCAATTAAAGTCTCATACAGAGACGCATGTGTGAGTGCCAATTATGAAAAAATAAAAAAATTACAACTAAAGAGCTATCAGATCGAATCACATATGTATACCGAGTAATGATACTTGCACCGATGAGTTAGTCAGAATGATTAGGTTTATTATATCTTATTGGTTATTAATTAAATAAGAAAGTGAAGGACCCCACTTTTTTATATTTCCTATACATTGATTAATCAAATATAATAAGCTTATCAATTTTACCTAATTCCTCCGCGCAAGTCACTCTTACGTAAATTTATCTGATTTTTTTAACACATCCTAAGTCACAGCTTCTAATTGCTCAAGAGAAGACAGCTTACCTTTTTTCATACTCGATGCCTAACCATTTTCTGCAGCGGGCCAGAGGAAAGGGACTAGAAGAGTAAAAAATGGCCTAAGACTTCATTTCTCAAGAAATTCGCGCAAAAAAATTTCTGAAAAGATTGATAATAACGTTTCGATTCATTTAACCGTGAAAGAAATCATAATAATATCTGTCACACAAAAAATTATTTGGTAGATGATATCTCGCCCTCATTTGATAAAAGTGATTATTCCTTATAAATAAAGAAAATAATGAGTAGTAGTATTTGTTAGCTGGGTAAGTTGTATTATTGGGAACCAAATAATTTCATCGGAATAATGGACACTAAGCTTACATGACTGCTGAATTCCGATCCTTTCTTTTTATTTATTCGTCCTATGTTCATTTGTGCTCCATTAAATTAATAATACAACACGCTACATCACAATGTAACATATTACACGTATATCACACATGAAATAGTCATGCAACAATGTTAGACTTATGTAATATGTTACACCGTGTTGCTACAATACTACAACGCTATTAAATCTAGAGTTCAACGTCCTTACATAATCAAGGGCGGAGGGAGGGATGGGCGAAGGTGGGCTTCAGCCTACCCCAAAAAAAATTTTTTTTTTTTTTTTTTACTACACTACTTGCAGCCCAGTCCAAAAAAAATAATAATTTAGCCCACCCAAAATTAGCCCAATCCTAAATTAGCCTACTCCAATTAACAATTCTGAATCCGCCCTCGTGCATAATTGAATTTAAAATAATTACGTTTGTGAATTTAATCCGCCCTTGTTCATAATTGAATTTAAAATGATTACGTTTGTGAATTTAAAGGATAACCACGTACAAAGAACAAAATGGATGAGGAGTCACTATTGTTGACGCTTTCATGAGTTAGGCTACAACTTTCCATGAAATGTAGAATAATCACTCTGTGTGACCACAAGGACCCCACATGATCAATCATGTGACCTAAATTTTATATATATATATATATAAAGCAAAGCCTCGGGGCCAGCAGTGCGTGGCATAAATTACTATCTCCTTCATCGGGACTCAATTCTAACTAAATTTCATTATTGCCCACCAACTTGAGCCAATGAAACTAAGTGTGTGAACGATTAAGATATATATTTAAAACAAAAGTTTGATTGGGAGAAAAAGCATATGTTTGATTTACATTATTTATTAATTAGATGATTCATGACTTATGAGCTTGGATGATCAACAATATTATAATTAAAGAAGCCAAAAGATATGTGAGAAAATTAAAATTGTAATCCGAAGTGCAAGCGTGAAACAATTTATTGTGACTGATTTTTTTTTTTATTAATTTTTTTCAGAAATACGAAACTTCTTAAAGCTTATAAGAAATAAGGAAAAACAAGCACAGGGAAGAGCACTGGGGTTAATTGTAGGATTCAAAACCTAACCAAACCATATATAAATAGTTTCACAGGCAAAACTAAAACAAAAATCGTGTAGAATAATGTATTTTTGCTTTCTTATAATAGAAAATGTTTTCTATCTTTGTGAAAAAAATTGGAAACATAAAAAAAGTATTTCCTATATATGTTTTAGGCATTGTAGTGTGAAAACATTTTCGCTACTGTTAAAATACGGGCACATAACATATTTTTTAAAATAATATTATGGTACATTATATATTTTATTATATATAGGATATATTATTTATTATAATACACTATATGTAAAATATATTATATATCACACAATAATGTTATACATAATGCATACATGAATTTATATAGAGTATATAATTGGTGATAATGTTTTTTCCTACTATATCTTATTTTGTAGTACTTGGTATTCTTAGGATTTTTTTATTTTAAAATGGGTTTTGTTAATATTTGAAAAATAATTGAATTGCATACATTGTTCCACATTTAAAGCTGTATGGTACTAATGGAAAATTTTAAAATAAAATAAAAAAGTATTGTGTAGATTTTGTAGCAAATATATGTATTACTAAAAGTTTGTGAAACAAAGTGTTAATAAACTTATTTCCGTTCTTTATTTTCACTCATAATAATAAAATTATGTTTTGGTTTTTTTTTTTAAAATTGCAAAAAATAAAATGAAAACGTTGGGCTTGTTTGGTAAGTATTTTGTTTTTGGTGTTTTTGTTTTTGTTGGGTATTGTAGCAATGAATGTAGAATAGAAAAACTTGTTTGGTAAAAAATATTTTATTTTGTACAGTACAGTAATGTTTCGTGTGACCAAAAATCAAAATAACAAGTTAATATTTTTACATGTTTCAGCACTGTAGTAACTAATAATGAACAGTAATAAATAAAAATTTTTTTATAAAACAATTTTAAATTGATATTTTTAAACGAATCATTATATTTTTCGATCAAACTTGTAATATATTTTTACCAAATATGTTTTTCATATTTTTGTTTCAAAAAATTTTGTAACAAATGAACGTTACCAAACATACTTCTAATTACTATTCAAATCACTCTATCAAAAAATAATAATAATAATAAATAAATAAATAACAAAATACAAACCAAACACGATTTACTGATAAGTAGAAATGGATTGTTAGGTTTTGATTCCTACAATTAGTCAATAAAAGAGACATGAGAGGCATTTCTGTAATTAAGACTATACACACGCCCTTAGAGTCTTAGACAGCTATAGATAGATAGATATATATATATATTAGTGAGTGTGATGATTTGTATGACATTTCGTTGTTTCAACGCTATCATCTCTCTATTCTCAAAGAGCTAGCTTTAATGGCCATCTCTCTCTCCAACATAGTCCCTCCCTTCAAAATCCACCCCCACAACGTATTCCAATCTGAAAAACACTTTCTCGTACCATCTCTTCCCCAAAATTCTCACTCTAGATTCTCCAAGAAAGTAGAAACCATAGGACGAGCATTGTCCGAAACAAGCGAGTCCTTGTCTTCAACCATATTTACCCAGATCAACACAGAAACACCAAAAGTTGAGGAAGAAGAAGATTATCAAGAAAAACAGCAACCGGAGAAGCCGGTAGCTGATCGGTGGCGAGAAATCCACGGTGAAGATGACTGGGTGGGCATGCTTGACCCGATGGACCCGTTGCTCCGCTCGGAGCTCATCCGGTATGGCGAGATGGCACAAGCTTGTTACGATGCTTTTGACTTTGATCCTTTCTCCAAGTACTGCGGAAGCTGTAGATTCAACCGTCACAACTTCTTCGATTGTCTGGACATGACAGGATACGGATATGATGTCACAAGGTACCTCTTTGCCACATCTAACATAAACTTGCCAAATTTTTTTAAGAAATCGAGGTGGCCTAAGGTTTGGAGCAAAAATGCCAATTGGATCGGGTACGTGGCCGTGTCCAACGATGAAATGTCACTGCGGTTAGGCCGTCGTGACATTACCATCGCATGGCGGGGCACAGTGACACGACTCGAAATGATTGCAGACATGATGGACTTTCTAAGACCTATCTCATCCGACAAGATCCCTTGTCCAGACCCAACCGTAAAAGTCGAGTCGGGATTTCTCGACCTCTACACGGACAAGGAGGAGACTTGCCGGTTTTGCAAGTTCTCAGCTAGAGAGCAAATATTGAGTGAGATCAAGAGGTTGATAGAGAAGTACCAGGATGAAGAATTGAGCATAACCATAACGGGTCATAGTTTGGGCAGTGCACTAGCTACCCTAAGCGCCTATGACATTGTCGAAACCGGTTTGAATGTGATGGGTGATAGTCGGGCAGTACCCGTTTGTGTTTTTTCATTTTCGGGTCCACGGGTCGGGAATGTGAGGTTCAAGGAAAGGCTCGAGTGCCTCGGATTGAAGGTGCTGAGGGTGGTAAACGTTCATGACATGGTGCCGAAATCACCCGGATTCATTTTTAATGAAAATGTACCTCCGATGATGATGAAGATGGCGGAGGGGCTGCCGTGGAGTTACTCGCACGTCGGAGTTGAGCTTGCGTTGGATCATTGCAACTCTCCGTTCTTGAAGCAAACGGGCGACCCGGTTTGTGCCCATAACTTGGAGGCTCACCTGCATTTGCTTGATGGGTTAGTCATTCTCTCTTTTACTCCCCCCTCCACACACACACACACTATTTACATATGCATTGGGTCAAAATGTTCATGTGTATCATAAATTTTATATTCACGTCAATATTGAATCAAAATTAATCTTATGTTATTTTATATAAGGAGTTTATTTTAAATTTCATAAAATTACAAAAAATAAATTAAAAATTAATAGGTAAGGTCATGTAGGTAGACAATGTGAAACACACCCAAATCCTACCCGAATATCAAGAAATTTGAAGTTCGAACTTGCAATAAATTTAATCCAATTTTTTATGGTATTTTATTGCCCAAAGATGCTAATATTAGTGTGCCATTTAATATTATATGGAAGCAATGTGAGGTGGAAGTGATTAAAAAAAGAGATGAAGACGAGACCATCTGTAATGACTTGTAAGTTACAGCCAAAGTTGGGGATTTAAATAATTGCACGAGTACCCATTGGCATTAAATGTTATTATGACAGGCTGGTGGGCTACTATTATAATTTTAACACACTATCACAAGTAAATTGTGTGTGAAAGTGAAATATATTTTATTAATTCAATTTGTACTTATAAAAATAGAAAAGATAAAAAAAAAAAAATTATTTTTTGTTTGATTGGTTTAGAAACATCTTTAAAGCTATGTCTTAACTTTTGAACAAATAAGTTTTTGTTAATTAATTTTATTAAGTCATAGTCACACCCGACGTATAAACGTTGTTATTATCATTATCTTCATTCTTGTCTTTACTAAAATTTTATTTTTTTCACTCTTTCTCTATAAATAAAAGCAATATATCGACTTTTGTGTTTTGTTAAGCCCATTTGTGTCGAATGATACCCATTTTATTTGACAAGTAGCAAGTGAAGTCGCGATTGCACAACGATATATCATGAGTGAAGTTGTGATTGCACAACTATATATCTTTAGCATTTATGATAATATATAGATATATAAATACATACAGAAATGCAATTAATTGAACGTAGTTGTAAAATTGACGTTGGTGATGCAGATACCATGGAAAAGGCCATAGATTTGTGTTAGCAAGTGGAAGAGACCCTGCACTGGTGAACAAGGCTTGTGATTTCTTGAAGGATCACTACCTGGTCCCACCTAACTGGAGGCAAGATGCCAACAAAGGGATGGTGAGGAACAACGATGGCCGTTGGATGCAACCTGAACGGCCCAAACTCGACGACCACCCTGCAGAAACACACCATCGCCTCAGGCAATTAGGGTTGGCTTCTGATCATCAATAGATTCTTTGCTATTTATTATTGTAGAAGAAGTTAAATATATCGAACATTTAAGATTAGCTTCTTTTGTGAAATTGTTAGGCATTGAAGAATCGCTTCCTTGTCATGGTTAGAAAATGATAGGCACAGAAATGATTGAAGATAAACTTTAGATGTATGAAGATATTAATTAGTCTATGACGTCACTGTAATAATCATGAATTCAGGGCTCGTTTCCGGGCTCATATGGTATGCTGGAGTGTTAAATCATGACAAGGAAAGAACAACATATATAGGAAGAAGAAAGCTTACCATTCTCAAACTTGAAACCAAATTTTAATTGGACTGAGAAAGATTCATCATTTGGCATTAATAGATAATACAAAAATAAAAAATAAAAAACTAAAATATAAAAAATAAAAAATAAAAAATAAAAAATCCTTAAAATTGATAGAAATAAAAGAAAACAAGTCGAACTTCATTTATTAGAATTGCCTCTCGCTAAATATTGCAATAACTTATCTGCGGCCAACATGTATCTGTGATACTTAACCTGTTATACAATATAGGACTATCATCAATGTGTGCAAAGGGAAAAAAAAAAAAAAAAAGAAAAAAAAAAAATAGATACAATATTGTTGGCTTTCAGAATGAAAAAATGGTCATTTCACGGAGGAAAAGTGCAAAATTGCACTAGTTTACTGAAACATTCACTTAAAATGTTTCTCTGTTACTGAAGCCGATCTGTCGCCTCGCCTCAAAACCCCGCGCAATGCCTATTTACACTCCCTTCACAAAGCTCCACCACCATGCGAATCAACAACCGAGTTTCCATAAACTACTCAACATGTATAGTAACACCTTTGACTCCGCGAAAGGGCAACCTGACAAAATCAAGATAAAGAGCAGAAAGAAGATTTTAGGTTTTATACAATTCAAGAACCTAATTCAGAACACAATTTTTGGTACTGCGTCGTGTAATATATTCTTTTATGCTGTGGGAATTTATCACCCGGTGGTGAACAATTCCAAAAATAAATAGAACAATTTTATGTTCGTGTAATAAGTTGTGGAAGGACTATATTGCAGTTAAACCCTGATAGGTGCAAGTACACAAATCCTTTTACTTTTAGGTCCAACAATGATCTATGCAGGCCAACTTTATTGTGAACAGTGTATTATCTAATCCTCACAGTTCATTGGATTGCAGAATTTCGATGGCCTAAGAAACATTGGAATATGGAAAGTAAGAACCAGATGTGCAGAAAATAATACTCTACAAATGACAATAATTCGTCGCAACAAGAAGATATCTTTTTTGCTGTTTTGCTTCGGAAGATTTATTCACATGTTTCTATTCGAGACCCAGCATAAAAAAACAATTTAGTTATTGTCCAACAGGCATTGCGAAAATAGTTAGAAGAGACCATCACTGTTTTGGAAGGTGAGAGTGCTGTATGGTGGAAGGTGGCGATGGTGGCGGTAGTGAAAGGTGTTAGTGTTGCCAGTGGAGGAAGGCGGTGGAGGTGATGGCGACTGCAATGTGGTGGTGGTGGAAGGCGGCAGCAGTGGTGGTGATGGTGGTGGCAGTGGTTTTTCTGACTTGGTACGTTAGGTCTTTTTGGGAATGTGATTTTTTTTTTTTTAATAATTTTACTTGCGAGAGGAATGACCATTCCATAGGTTGATATGTGGAATGAATTTTCTTTTCCATTCCAATGGTTCCAGGTCATTAACATTGTAATTTTCCTATCAAACAAAAGAATGGGCATTCTACTCCTGCAGCATACCAAGCACAGTTTTAAGGTAACATTATGAGACTATAATTAAAAACATAAAAGTGGACAACATTGAAGGATGTTTAACATTCAACTGTTTGTGCAAAAGAAAATACATTATGGAGGGTTATACAACCACTATATAGACAGAATTGGTGACTCCTTATCAATGCTTTACTTCTCATTAAGATGGTTCAAAATAACAAGAAAAGGACAGAACATTGCAAGAACTACCCAAACAAAGTTTAAAAATCACATTTGCAGTGAAGGGCATGACAATAAATTAAGGAAACTGTTCTTATCTTAAAAAAAAGCATTATCTGCTGTGCAGAAGATTGATTTATATAACTCACATTACTCACCTAAACCCCTGCTGCAGCTTTAGCCTCAGAATCCATCTTCCCCTGAAACAATTGACCAGCAATCATAGCCAATCAAATCAACAGTCTCAACTCGTGAACATGAAACAATAAGGCATTAATGTGTCTGCAGGTCATACAACTTGGGAGAACAACATGAAAATTTAGTCATCAATATCCAATTTATTAAATACTAATATATCTAGGGTTCACTGTTATATCTATTAACTATTGTGTATTAGTGCCGAAAGCAATAAGAAAATAAGAAAATAATTGTGAAAAGAATTTATGAGTTGTAAAATTTTTCATTAAATTGTGGCTAGTAGAAGGCCAGAACTCTGTCTAAGGGGTTGGATATCACATGACTAAATTTGTACCAATTAAATAATTGACAAGGTTCTGAATCAAACAAACCTCAGCTGGAGAGCTGTTGCGGACTTTCCGTGTAGGAGTCCTCATTGTGACAAACTCCTCTGCTGATGTAGGATGAATACCTACTGTGGCATCAAAATCTGCCTTTGTCAACCCAGATTTCACAGCAATAGCAAATCCCTGAGGTTTTAAACAAAACAAAATCAAATGAATTGATCGTATGACAACAATTTTGGAAAAGCAACAAATTGATAGGATGCAGAAACCTGCACAATTTCAGCTGAATCTTCCCCACACATCATCAATCCCAGAACCTTGTCCGTTTTTGCGCACACTATAATTTTCATGAAAATCCGGTCCGGAAGCCCAGAAAGAGTAGCCTTTAAAGGCCTGAAGTTTGCTGTGAAGATATCAACATCACCATATTCTTTTATTGCCTGCAAAATTCCTTGAAATATTAAGCAACAAGCCAATCAGAGCTATTGCATATATGTAGTTCACAATTTGTTTCACCTGTTCTTCAGTAAGACCAACTTGTCCAATAGGTGGCTGAGAGAACACAGCAGATGGTACAGCCCTAGTCAAAAGCAGATGATAAACTGGTCAGGACGCAATGGAAAATCAAGTATCTTTTTATATTCTATATAAACCAATTGAAATTTATCGGTATAAAAGGACAATGAAAACACAGTTTAATGGTTACTAAATGATCTTGTAGATTCCAACATACAGAACCCAGCAAGCAGAATGCCTATCGTTTAACAATTAACTGATTCATACTGTATTCGAATGGATCTTCATAGAAACACTTGTGAGATTCTATGAAACAATTTATCATGAGATACAAGAAGTACCTATAATCTGGTTTTGTCGGTTCATTGGCAAAAAGAGTTTTTGCCAATGCCGCTCCCTCCATCAAAGCAACTGGAGTTAGATTAATTCTATCTGTAACATCTCCAACCGCCCAAATTGATGGAACAGATGTGCAGGAGTATTCATCAACCTAACGAAACAACATAAAACAATACAAGAAGATGCATAAAATAAAAAATAAAAAATAATCCTTTTAAGGTAACGGGAGGGGGGATTCAAGAGAGAGAGAGAAGGAAAAAAAAAAACAGTACCTCTATAGCTCCATTTTTGGTCATTTTTACCCCTACCTTCTCCAATCCTAAATTCTGCAATAAAAAAGGAGCCAATGTATCAGCCAATCTGAAATTGGTTTATTGTCAATATTTTGAGCATGTATCAACCAATCCTTCAGACCTACAAATGTTCTAACAATAAAGGGTCCGACTCCTCTAGGGTACAATCACCTTCAAGTTCATTAAGTAACAAATTACAGGGCACCATGTCAAATAATGGAGTGCGTTTCCATTGCTTGAAAAGAAGAATTCAAGACAATTCCCAGAACACCATTATTTCCCTCAGATAAACTGAGGTATTACAACCATACTTTATTGTGTCAACAAGCGAACTAAAAATTGCAGAAAACCATACAGAAATGAGACACCACAAATATGAAAAAATCAAACCTTTATGTTAGGCTTGCGCCCTGTTGCAAACATGATATGTGAGAAACCATCAACTGTTCCTTTGTTAGTCTTCAAAGACAGTGAACCATCTGTTGATTTAAGGATAGCCTGAGGCGACTCCTCTGTGTGGAACTCAATCCCTCTTAGAGACATCTGTTCTGCAACAAAATCTCTGATCTGCAGGAAACAAGAAATAAATTTTCATGCATGAAGGGAAACTTTTGTGTAAATATGTATATAACCAAACACAAACAATGTCATTTGTTGTTCCTCACCTCTTCATCAAAGCCTCTTAAAACCTTTTTCTGACGTATGAATACATGGACCTCACTTTTCAAACCATTGAAAATGCCAGCAAACTCAAGCGCAATGTATCCACCCCCAACTATTGCAATTTTCTTAGGCTTTGAAGGCAAATCAAGGGCAGCATCTGAATCTATTACATATTCACTTCCAGGAATTTCAGGAATGAAGGGGCGTCCCCCAACTGAAATCAGAATGTGTCTTGCCGAGTAGAGTTTCCCATCAACATCCACTGTGTGTGGGTCCAGAATCTGAGTATATGGTCATTAAAACCCATTCAATAGTTACAAAAAGATAGAGAAATGACATGTCAATAGCAATTCACTAAAAGACCATGTTAAAGATTAAATATGGCCACATAACCACATTTCACCTTTCCACGCCCTTCAATTAATGTGACACCAGCATTTTTCAGAATGCTCTTGTAGATACCGGTAAGACGCTGCAATTCAGCATTCTTATTAGCCATCAAGGTGCTCCAATCATGCTTGGGTTCAGCTTCATATTTCCATCCAAAACCACAACTCTCTTCAAATTCATGAGAATATTTGGATGCGTACACAAGTAGTTTCTTTGGAACACAACCACGAAGCACACACCTTCACTCCAGAAATTAAAAAAATCACTTACAAACTCAATAGAAAATCCCGGAATGCATAAATTTTTATGTAAGCTTGACTGAATGAAAAGAAAAGATTACACCCACTTAAATATGTAAGCTCAATGAAAATATATACAATAAGATACAAAGAAATATAACTGGTGCCTTGGATTGGTCTCCCGGCTCCAAGGGCCACAATGTATCCTTCATTGTTTCTCTGGCCGAATTTGTTGAGAAGGAGCTCCAAGAGGGGCCTCAGGCTTTGGATGCTCCGCAACAAGGGACTTATCCAAGTTTTTTTCTTTCTACTAAGAATTCCACTAAAGATCTAATCCAAAAGAAAAGGTGTTCTGTTAGGTTGTGTTAACCTACCATACAGAACAAGTATGTTGTCTATTATCGTTTTCACGATAGTTTTGTTGTTTCTTACCTATTTTGTTTCTGCAACCTCTCGGGGTGTCAAACTATTGCTAGGTTTTTCCCTCTTAGGTGTTTGGACTTTCTTTAGTCGAGATTGTGTTCTAAACCTAATTGTAAATTAATTTTATTTCTGGTAATAAAATTTTACTTACCAAAATATACATACATGTGTTATTTTGACATATCTAGCAAAGTGTGGGACAAAATCAGATTTATACAGAAGCGACCAAATCAAATTAAATTTATTAAGATGAGAACAATCAGGCCATGTAATTCCCCAAAAATCCTAAAAGAAAAAGGAAATTGAAGAACTTTTCACAAAAAATTGAGAACAGCATAAATAACACTTAGCCATTTCCAGTAACTTCAGGTTTAGGCCACAGGGAGGTAGTTTAGATCATGTAACCCTAATGACCTTTTGCCCCTCCTTTATACAGGGTTGGATTACTCATAGTTGTTAAAGGCGCACCTATGCTCCAAAAAAGCCCCAGGCTCGTCGAGGCTCACGTAGAGCCCAACCTAGTGTAGGCCATGCCCCCTTCAATCAGGCTCACATAAAGCCCCCAGGCTCACACTTTGTAGTAGGCTTCAAGCTCAAGAAAGGTGCGCCTTTTATTTTATAATCATTTATTCATATCATTTTCTCTTTTATTTAATGACCACTAAATTAAAATGTTCTATATCACACCACGATCACTACGTACATTAATTGCATTTAGTGCTTGATTCTGAAAATATAAGATAATATATGTTGGGCGCACTCCACTGTTCTACGTTTGTACTCCCATTTAAAAGGATTTGACACTTTTAACCCTAACTTGACACATTAATGCTTATTTTCTTTCAAATTACGTAACTACCCTTCCAAATATGATTGGTCTTCCCCTCTCTATCCAATCTTTAATATTTTGGGTCTCTTTTGATGGGATCCAAGAAACAAAATACCCATGCCCAAAAAAATAAAATGGACCAAAAAAAGGTTATAAATAAATTATATGAACAAAAACTAAAAAAATGCTATCTGTGTTGAATGAATTATTTCTTTAGACGACTCGATAATAAAATAAAAAAGTACCCAAAACAAAAATCGGAACCAAAAAAAAAAGTGAACTCAGTTAAATAAATTATTTCTTTCCACAAGACCACCCCAAAAAAAGTTATCCTTACTGAATAAATTATCTTTTTTGACACGATCCAATAAAAAAAGGACCCAAAAAAGGAGTTATCTATGTTGAATATAACATCTTCTGACAAGACCACAAAAAAGGCATTGAAGTAAAGAACATAATAATAATAATAATAATAATAATAACAACAATAATAATAATAATAATAATAACAACAATAATAATAATAATAATATAATAATAATAAATTTAAGTTTCACAAATAAAGGGTAGCTATTGTATTATAAAATAAGGGAGGATACATTAATGACTTTAGGAACCTTCTTGTCATTTACTTTGAAAGAAAAAAGCAAGTGGAGTGCAAGTGCAGAAAAGACGATTGCAAATATCGCCTCCCTATAGGCTTAAAATTCGCATGATTATAGTTTTTTATTGTTTCCGATTTTGTAATTACATTTAATTTGGCTAATGCATATGTATATCAGATGATATGAAAGGATTTATGAGCACCAATTTACCCAATATTCTTAGTTGATATATCAAGGCATTTTTAGATAATTTTTTATTATGGGTCACGTATCTTGAGTTGTTCCAATTGTATATTTATTGAATTCATATGCAAATAGAATAGATATGTTGAATTAGCTAATCCATTGAATTGATATGCTGAAATTTTTTCTTATTTAGCCACTGACTAGCTTGTGTTGCATTGTTTAAATATTCTTTATATGCTTATAACTAATATGTCATTATTATCACACACGCACCTTGCACTTAAGCTACAGAAGACCTTTGGGGCCTTAGTGCGCCTTGAGCCTTTATCAACTATGGGATTACTAGTGTTGGTTTTTGCCAAGTCGAGTAGCAGACTAGGTATAAACTAACTTCCGACATTATTTGCACAATGTGACTACCTTCGTGCCCAAAACATGATTTTTCATATAAATAAGTCAAAATACGTCTTTAAGTAAAAAAGAAACAAAACCCAAACTTGGAATGAAAATAAATCAATATTCCATATGCAGTAGATGAGCCAATCTAGCTTTCATATTCGCATCACCCTTATTTCATTTTCTTTTCCGTAATTAGCATTAACTAATCACCACCAAGGAATAATGCTAAGGAACTTATCTGATTCCAACTCATTCCCAAAAGATTTCCAAACAGCACATTTCTTGTATCAATCACACAACAAAACTTAATCCAATTATTTGGGATTGACAAAATCCAAGTGAAACTTAATTAAGTTTCTGCCAGCAATTATAAATTTTATTCCAGGAGCTTGGCATAGCAAATTAGGAAAGATATTTTAGCATGTGATTGGGGATGGGCCCTGGGTCGGCATAACCCGAGTCCCACCCCAAATTTTATGGGTATGGATAAAGTATTTGAGATCATGTGGCTGGGATTTAGTTTAAACCTAGACGTCCAAATTTATTTTGAGTAAAACTTGGGCAAAGATTCCACAAACTTGAGCAACCCAAAAAAACCCAAAATGCAAGAAGAGTTCATAGTTTTTAATTTATTTTAAGACTGTAGGTTATTTATATAAATTAAGGGTAAGGTTCCATTATTCATTCTTCGATAGCATTAATACTAGTCATAGTAATTAACCATTTAACTTGTGATACAGTTGCTTTGAAAATTTGAAGTAAATTTATAATAATTGCAATTAGATTGAATTTAGAAATAAAATAAGAAAGAATATAATATTTTGCCTTTCCAAATTTTTAGATTAAAGAACGTTATTGAATCTCACAAATCTGAACATGTCATCTTTTTAAAATAGTACTTTGATGTGACTTATCAAAATAGATATATCGCTGGCGGTAGAAGCTAGTCGCCAGAATTGAACTTTCGGGCAAGGATGGAGACAAAAAAAACATGAGCACACTTGTGCGAGCCTTATTGAAAAATAAATCAAGAAGCACGGTGGCATGTTTCGGTCCTCTTCCCCATTACCCAGAAATATATATATATATATATATTGTTTTGATGTGGGATTTTGTAGTTTTTTGTTGTTCGAACTTTTTGGAACATGTTATTGGTTTGAAACATGCAATGGTTGGTATATGTTTTATTACAGGTTATAAACTACTGTCGTATAATTATATTATGCCAAGGTTAGTTTTATTATAATTTCTTGTCGCAAAATATGAATGGTTTCATTTCAAGTCAAATGTATATAGTTTCAATATTTAATGTTAAATTTTAGCATTTTCAATGTTTGTAACATTCTATTTATTAGTAGACCATGGAAGCCATCTGGTATAGCATGGGTTTAGGAGTTAGTACCTTGGGTCTGGTTTGGTCTGACGCCTTGGCCTACCCAACCGGCAGAATCTCAAACCTACTTATAACACATCTACCCTAGTCAAATTATCCACAAAGATATCCAGATTCCAAGTTCTCCATAAAAGATGACAATTAGCTTCACATACTGGAAAAGGAATGTGATTACAAAAGATAATCAACTTACACCAGTCTTGCATAGACGCACTAATCATGTGAAATTTGACAAGTTAACCATCCCATTGGCTTCATCAAACATCATCAGGACACTACTGGAGGGTTCTTTCTTCTAAAATTCGACTTCAATGGGGCTACAGGACCTATGGTAACAGTACTGTATGGTTGTTCTCCATAACTGATTTTATAAGATCAAAATCACCAGACAACCCCATTTGACAGAACAATTTCCATATTGGATGCCATCAAACACAATAAATTCCAAAAGTATTATCAGTTGGAAAGTTACACTTTTCAAATCAGGTATCCTCACAGGATCAAATTGACAACCTCTAGATGTATTATCAGCTGGAAAGTTATTAGAACACCCAAAGAAAATTCAATTATGCAACCACAAAATTATTTCATTAACTTGCTATCCCACCCAAAACTGTCTTTAGTATCTTAAATGAATTAAATATCAGAACCTGCAATGATGCAAGAAACAGTTTTCCCAACCAAACAATTTGATGGGCTATCTTTAGTTAATGTCACTGTGTGCTATTGAGGTATATTTGATGATTCCTGTGAATAAATACCTCTCAGACTACTCCTTTATTCCTTGAATTTATCACAATATTTCATTATCAAATAAATCCTGAAATAATCCATGTACTTCAGTAATTCTCGATGTTGAAGATAATTCCGGATCATATTATACTACAACTCTTTTATATTTTTAACATGTATTATTTTTCTCATATGGAATTCAATAATAAATACTTTAACTAAAAAATTTGCAAAATCCCAATAACAACAACAAAATTACTCCCCAATCCTACATTTCTTACTATTTGCAAGGTTAGGTATTCATGTGGCTGTATACCCCAAACTGAAATTCATCAAGCTAACTTAAAAACAATACATACACACATATATAAGCATTCAAAAACCCAAAATTCACAACTTACGTTCCACCAACGCCTCCGGTAGTGTCCGAAGATACGGTGGCAAAAGGAAGCTCGCACACGGCAACGGAAGCACCGAAATTGGCGGCGAAACGCGAAGCCCTAACGCCGCCGCTGCCAGCGCCGATGGTGAAGAGGTCGAAGTCGTAGTGGCGATGCTCGGCGCCGTTGTCGGACTCGGCACGAGTGGTGAAGCGACGGTGGTAGTGAGAGAAAGAGGAGGAGCGGGGAAGAGAGAGAAAGTGAAGGTTTTTGGAGTGAGGGAGAGGGGAAGAGTGAGGAGAGAGAGAATTAGGGTTTAGAGAAATGGGGAATCGTCTGTAGAGGGTTTGGAGAGTTGGGGAAGAGAAGGTGGTAAGTTTTGGTGTGCTCAAAGAAGTCGCCATTCTGCGTCCTTTCTATTCTATCTTTGCTTTTGTATATATGCCGAGTTGAGTTGGGCAAATACAAATAATTTCATTTTATAATAGGAAAATGCTACTCCTATTAGATACAATCTTTATAATATGTTATATAAAAAAGCAGAATAAAGTAAGTGGATAATTTATTTAAAAAGAAAAAACAAAATTTGAATTTGTCATGTACTCAAATCATGATTACTTCAATTGAATGGTCCACAACGAAGAGGCATATTAAGTAATATTTCTTAAAGATAAATACGGAGTATTAAGAAAAAATTAACCCCATTTGATTTTTATATAAGGTAACGCCTATTGCGACTCGAGGGACTGAAATCGGGAGTTTAAATTTTAAATTCTTTTAAAGTGTACGTAGGATAAAATTATATGTGATCGGAGATAAATTTTGATATGTCACCATCATCGTTTAAAAAAAAAAAAACATTGCTATAACATACTCATCTTTCATTTCTCATTCTCACCATTTTTAGTTAGGACTTAATAAGATATAGTAGATAAATAATAAAGTAATTAGATTTAAGGTGGAATTAGACGAAAGCTGTAACATAATGGTAATTATTCACTTTTTAAATTAACTTGCACGATAAACTGAGTAGAATTTAAATACCAAAAAAACTAGTCAAAAGACAAAGATAACTGATTTTCTTGATCCCTCACAGTATATATATATATATACACTTGGAATTGTTTTATAATTTAGCTTGGTAAGGATTTATGCAAACAAGTTGAATAAAGAAGATCAATCTGTCATTGCATAACCAATGAGAATAATCAAACCAACTGAAATCTACGACTCAATATGACATGGCAAACAGACCACCTCTAAGCAAATATGTGTGTGCGTGTGTAATTATTTCAGAAATATTCTAACAAAGATTTTACCTTCCCAAGAAATATATTCATTGATCTTTCTTCCTCTTAATCTTAAATACATAACAGAGAAATATAACAAGAGCTAAATGAAGACCATATTTCAATATATATATATGCCAGTAGTTTCTCGTTTTTTCTCTCCTTTTTCTTTTCAAGGTCGCCAAAAAGATGTCAGCAAAGCATTGCTACTTGAGAAACTGAATATCTTAGAGAATTTGAAGAAGCTCTGCTATACCCACCATGCAATGGGACCCAAACCACCATCACAATCAAGTGTACCCTGCATTGGTATACAAGAAAGAAACATTGTTACAGAACTGCCATTTGCAGAAGTAGCATCCCCTCTGATAAATTTTTTTTTTTTTTTTTTTTTTTTTTAATGTGAACAGAAAGCAGTTGCAATTGTTCCTCATCTCAACTTAGCTACGGCCACATATTGATCAAATCATGGAACAAGTTTAAGAAATCTAATAATGGTCAAAATAAAAATATCTTCCAGTAAAATACATGTAACGTTATTATTATAAATAAATAAAACATGTTTTTATTTGGATAGAAAAGATTTCTCTTTCACTACAAGGTTTCTTAGTATATTTTCATTGCTCCTTGTAAAAGTCGTTTAGAAATCAGTGAAGCACTCACGTTCGACATGCCATGTTTCCATACACTTCATTTCGCCCTAGGGTATGGATGTGATAGAGGAACTTTTGGAAATTCAAAACATTAGCTACACACTGACACCTGTACAGTAGACACTTACAATCGACACTCATACCCGATTCCTTGTAACTTATGTACTCCAATTGGACAAATGAAACATGTATGGGTATTTGGTGACACTGCATGCAAAGGCATTAGGAATGAGAAAAGTAGCAATTGAATATTTCAAATCATGGAAATTGGTCACTAAACTTCATAAGATGCTATCTAAAGTGGTGCCTAAGGATTGCGTTATGTCTGCCATGAATACATGAAAACACATTATATACTCTCCAAATATAAAGTTTTTCCAAGAAGAGTAATAATATTCTCAAAATTTTAATAAATATGCTAGAAGGTAAAAATTACCAACCATGGAATCGTTGAAATTTTATTCCACAGAAAGGATATCTATTCTACTAAGTTATAATATTAAGAGGCCCTCTGTTCGAAATTTATCAAATATATTTAGATTAACAAACTTCAGATTTCAGCCTCATGCTGATGTTAAAGGCCCACAAAAAAATAACACTAGCTTTGGGCACATTCCACTGGATAACATCTTAAAAACAGTAACAACATGCAATGGTTGAACCTTCAGTAACAGAAAATTCATGTGCACAACTTTCAATTGTCAACTTACATTAACCACCATGGGGGCAAATGGCTTTGGATCTTTTTCTTGTTCAACTGGTATTGAAGGAAATTTTACACTCTCAACTCGGAACCGAATCTGCAATTGAACAACTTAAGTTAACGCTGATTTGCAGTTTACAAATTTTAATTAACTCAGAAAACTGCAAAGCTTCAAAGCATAACATCAACCTCGTCCAATTCATCTATAGGATAATTGTCATCATTATACTGCCATATCCACCTCACTTGATTCCTAGGAGAGAAATTAAAATCACATACACAAACAGAGGTCATGAAATGTACTGCACCAAAAAAAAAAAATTAATAGATCTGATCAGGCCTGGAAAATTCTACTGTAGTTTAGTAGAAGTTGATGCATAAGGAATCTTACTTCTTTTCTGGATCAGGCTCAAAATGGCTCGGACTTGGCATTAGATGGGCAGGCACATAGATGTCATGAAAAAATCCAAGTGATACTGAAATTACAGATTCAACATCAGCATGCAGGTGCTAATAACAACATATGCATCATAATGAGAAATATAAACATGATAACTATTTATTTCAGCAAGACAATTTATAACTGAGAGAAGCTGAAAGAAATACTCTATAGTAACAAATTTAAGAAAATGATTTAAGTAATAAAGCATCCTTCTTTGAACGGTCCACAGAGAATGAGTTGAACATCCAACATTAATTTTGGGTCATCTTACCCAAAATTAAAGCATTAGTGACTTGGCCCAACCACTCCTCTTCATCCCCCGCCCCAAGGGAAAAAAACGAAAGAAAAAGATGAGTGAAAACATGATAAAATTCATAAAATTTTAATTATCCAGCATTGATTAACAGGAAATCTTAAATTTATTAGGGAATAAAGGAAAAGGCATTTCTACCTCATGCAGTATATGATTTCTTAACCATAAAATCTCGTTTTTATACCATCTCCAATATTCAATGCTGATTTTGCAAACTATCTCCATAAACTCAACATGCCAGATTTAGAAAAAAGATAGTCATCCACTAACATGAAAATCAATTACCTTTATGTGGTTTCATCAGGATTCAAATACTTCTTTTGGCCTAAGAAACTATCGATCAGCCAAAACCAATATGCTACCATAACAGTAGCCACATAGTATATCTCTAAGGTGACCACCTGTTATTCAAATTTACAAAATGAAGGGAAAACCTCAATCAGGTACAGCGTCCCTTATAAATTGGTAGTACATGCATCAACAACTGGACAAGTGCATAGGCCGATTAGGAGGAGCAAATTTTTCCTGATAAAGCCCTAGATTTGGTTACAACTACATGCTTATGATTAAATTCACAGAAAAAAAAAGATTTCTTCCCATACTACCTTTCAATATTTAGATAAAAATAAATAGTTTTAAGTCAAACTATCTCATTTTAACAAATCAAGACCAGCCGTCAGTTGATAAAGAATAGGTATGGCTTTTAGATTAGTTTTCACGCAAGAAAGAAAAGAAGAGGTTTTCTTTTAATTGATATGCATGCAACAGAAAGGAAATTGGCAGCATCCAGCCAGCAACTCAAATAGCCGCATCATAATATGCTAAGATATCAATATATGTTGCATGCATATTTAAAGAAAAAGGTGACATAAGTTCATGAAAAAACTTGAACAAATGGATAATACTAGAAGAATAGATATCTAACGTTGTTCAAGATCAAATAACCAGATAAGAATTTGTAAGTCATACATCGTAAACCATTAGCATCAGATTCTTTAAGTTTTGCAACTATGACCTCTCCCACAATTGGACAAAACATAACCAGCCTGAACTTAACCTGCCAGAACAACATGATATTTAACGATTAGGTGAACACATACTAGCAAGTGTTCAGACATTCCATGAGAATTCAATTAATTAACTCTTTTATACAGCATTTGAAAAAGTACGCTGGAAATCAATATGGAAATATCACCATGATCAAGGATTCACTAGAATGGTTTTTTATAAGAAAAAATCATTATTTGAAACCCTAAACTGTTGGCACTCAATCAAGTGTTTCCGCAAAGAAACTGTCATGTTTTATCAAATGCACTTCAAAAAAGCGCTTCAAACCAAATTTGAAGCACATAACTGCATACTCCTAATTGACATGGTCACATGGCCAGCTGACATATTTCTCGAGCCCAAAAACTATTTTGCAATGTGAATTTCATAAAAAATACAACTGCCACTATAAAAGCATTCTGCTTGTGAGATACCACCTCCAGCACCCCGTAAAGCATAACAAGCTTAAGGGCCCAGTTGGAATGGCTTTTAGAAAGCTGCTTTTGGCTTCTAAGACTTAAAAGCTAATTTTTGCAGAGTTTATAGTACAATATTGAAGAGCTTGAAGCTCGTGGAAAAGCGTTGGGCTGAAGCCAGAGGGGAGTAGCTTCCGCAAGACGCTCTTCCCGGGTGATGCAGGAAGCCTTTTTCACTTTAAAATGAACTTTTATAATTCCATTTTCGTCCCTTACATTCAATAGCAGAAAAACAGAATTCCAATCCTGTCCTGTTTAAAACGATTCAAGCCCTTTCTCTTTCCCGTGATGATCATTGAAGCGAAAGCATGCAGACCAAAATTGTAGACATTTTCTTTGTTTCTTTGTTGTTCAAGTGTTCAAAAGACTCTAAAACCTAAAATCCTATCATCACCTTCAGGTTTGATCTTCCTCTTCCATCTTCTCATACAGTATATATAAAGCTAGGGTTCTTTTCTTGTCCCCAAACTAGTGAGGTCTTGCTTAGCCTTTTATTTAGAATTGATTGAACAAACATGCGATTCTTCCTTTCTATTAGGTGAACCGCTGAAACTCCAGGAGAACTAATAAATAGATGCTACCTTTGAAGGAAGTTTCTCTTAGCACCCTTATGGCTATTATATTCATATGTATATATTATTGTTTCTGTAGAACCTCATCAGTTCAAATTGACTTCAAGGTGTTGATAAAATGGCAAACTGAATTTTTTTTTACTGTTTGCTCATTGGTTTTGCACTTGTTAGTTTTGGACATAAATTGGAAAATTATTTTCAGAGATATACATTGTGTTGTATATTGGAATACGGTGGTCATGGCTAGTTGGTATGTAGCACACACATTGTGTGCATGTGTGCCAATCTTTAACCCTAAACATTGGCTATGACCTAGCTTCCTCCACAGCTTTGTTGTTTCCTGGTTTTTGGGTTATCAAGATTTGGTCCTTAAATTATACGCAAGGAGGCAGCTGGTGTCAATGGTCTATGGCTCAAGAAGACCCATGGTGCAAAGACCAATATGATCATCATTTTCAAGTGATGGTGCATAGACCAACATGATCATCATTTTGAAGTGATGATGCAAGTTTATCATGTTTCTTGATGTGTGGCCATTCTGTAGACTCTAAATTCTTCGCTACCTTTTCAACCTAGGCAAAATATTTTTTAATTGTGTGGGAAACAAATTGTCCTACAGTCTTTCTTGCAAACAACCATTGTGATTTTCTTGTAGCAAAATGCCAAAATCTGTCAATTTGAGGAAATCTGAGAATCATGTCTGATCATTTCAGGAACAAAATGAAGCCTGGTCATATCTCATGAGAAAATTACATGCTTACAGAACAAATGACATACGGCAGTAATATAATTGGAGGTGATAATATTTTAGAACTCACACTATTCTAGCCATTTTAAATGTATGCATCTCCATTTAGAAAATTGACAACCGTAGTTTTCATAAAATTATTTATGTTACATCAAACAATATACATGCTTGTTATACATTATGCTTAGATAAAAAAATTTGTTTTATTGTATTACTGATGAAATGGAATATGTAACTTTTTTTTAAAAAATAATAATTTTTTTTAGTAAAGTTTTTTAAGACCACAGTATAATGTTCTTATTTATGGCATATAATCATAATTTGATTTGGTCGAATGGTTTATTTTTGTGTTTAGAGAAATGGTTGTATAAGAAAATTGTTTAACTACCTTACGGGAAAAATAGTTATTCAACAATAGAAGAGCCTCAACAAAAGTTTTGCCAAACAGGAAAATAAAAAAAATAAAAAAATATGGCTTCTGGCATTAAAAGCTCTTCTAGAATATAGTTTCCAAACACTAAGGCATAAGTTAAATGGAATTAATAGCTTCTACTTCATTTTTCTTCTGCTTAAAAGCATTAGCAAAAGCTATGCCAAAGGAGCTCTAATAATCATTACAAACTTAACTGTACTGGAAACCCTATGTTATGGATTGGGAACCTCTAAACCCCCCTGAACAAACAACACCCCCAAAAAGGGCATGGTGTTGGATTAAAAGTTCTCTCAACATCATCACCATAAAACACAATCTGTATCATACATTGACTAATCAGGTGTTAAAAAGAACAATTTAGCTAGATCTCTTCCAAGCAAAAAGGGCATGGTGTGAACACCTAATTGGCCTTAATTATGAAGAAATAAATTTTGTTAGAGAATATCATTATGGGAGTGATTTAAGCCTTTGATAGAATATTGATTGGGGTGACGGGAGTGATTTTAGGGATCCTACATCAATATATTTTTCATATTTATCACATGTTTGTAATTGCAAATAAAATTAAGAGAGAACATAATAAAAGAGATGTAGCTTTTGGCCTTTGTGTGTCGTGGATGTAGGCCGTAGTAGCCGAACAACGTTATATTTTTGTGTTGTTCATATTCAATTTCAATCTTCAACTTTATTTTTCTTAACAAATTTAATATATACATATATAGAACTTTCTCATTTGTATTCAATACATGGAATCGAAGTACATAAAAAAATTGAAGGACATTCAAAGAAACTAAGAACAGTAAACAAAAAGCCTGTAAACCCATTTCATATATATACATTTCCAACAAACAAGACTCACGCACAATGCTTCAGGGTAAAAACTTAATAGTATAAAAAAAAAATTAAAAAAATATTATTATTTATCAAAATAAAGAATATGAATGTAATAAACACAAGTAACCTATATAAATATTTGAATGAAAAGAAGAAAAAAATTGTATAAACGCACAGAAAGATTAAAAAAATACTCAAACCTATTACAATATTGGCCAAGAAGGAACAAATGAACAACAAATGAACACATGTATAAAGATTCAGAAAGAACAATATGAGACATAAGACAGATTATACGTACTGTATAGGTTGAAGCACCGTCTCCAGGAAAGATAAAACCGCCATCAATGGACTCAATATCATAAACAGAGATACAAAGTCCCAAATCCGCAATAACCTTTATCACCAAAAGTCTCAGTCATTTTAACCAAGTTTGACAGATGTAGAAACAGGACAATATAAAAGTGATGTGTTTAAATTTGAAAATGAGAAAGAAAATACCACAAGACCTTATCCAAGAAGAGATCCTCAAGCACACATTTAATTGCTTGCTCAAGAGGAAGGTTGAGGAGATGTGGGGGTAAACGCAATGTGTGTTCAATTGTACTCAAGCAGAACATCTTGGAGCTAAAATATTCAAATTTATAAAACAACAAATCAATTGAAAACGATGATATCCTACTACAATACAAATGATGTAGGACAAGAGAGCAGCCTTAAATAGCTAAGAACTCAAAGAATTCAGAGTCTGAAAGTTCAAGAACTAGGGCAGAAATTTGGAGTTTGATAGTAGAAATGTAGAAAACCAAAGGAGAAGTGGTTGTTAATTAAAATAAACAGAGCTATGGTTCAAAATATTAGTAGAGAGAAAGGATTGAAAACAACAAAAACCTACTGGAATCACACCAACAGGTCCAGGTATCACACCTAGAGAAGGCCTCACACCCTCACAAATTGTGAATCACTCACAAAGAAATCTCAAAGATACTTTTATTCATTCCTTGACTGCCTCAGCAAGTTTACATCATACCCTTCTTATAGCAACTTATGACCCTCAGATTACCCCATGATTGAGGTAATCAAAAGTTGACTCTATAGCATAATAAAAGTAATCACCCCGTAATTGAGGTAATCAATATTTGACTCTAGCATAATAAAAGTAATTACTATGGACGGATATAATTTGATCGAAATTGATGCAAGCTACCATAATTATGCAATTTGACCAAATCCCCCTAATTATGCAAGACTCCAAGTGGACCCATCGTCTAGCATGTGCCAAATTAAGGTTTGAGCCTTAGAACCCTCCTTGCCACGCCTTTTATATACCTTAAAAGGCTGCTGCCATTGTTCTCTATCAACAAATAGCACCTAAACAAGATGGGAGTTCCAATTCTTTTGGTTTCCCTTTAATTCTTAATTTGATCAGTGGACCAAGCATGAATTAAACCATTTTAGGTCATAGATGTGGAAGCATCTCACCACTCAAGCTGCTAAACTGTTTTCAGGTTTTGAGGACAACAGGACTGGGAGAGAGGAACAAGGACTTATCTACAACTAGAGAATGGATTGTATTACATACGTTTTCAATAGTTAGCAGGTTGTGTTATACCAGTCTCAACCAAAGGCTTAGAACTTCAACTGTTTTACCATTGTCAATTGATATATAAATGCATTGAGACCAACAAAAAGCATGTAAATGTGGCTGTCCAGAATCAGAAAGAGGCAGATCTTTATAAAAGGTCTTATAAAGCTTTTGTCTCTTATTAAATTATAAAGCTCCCTTCTCAAGTCAAATTAAGTCAAGATCAACAAAATTACAAACTACTCTAACAATATTACTCATGGATTGTTTGGTATTCTGGTAATGTGTTATGTTGCACAAAATCTGAAAGCAAGAAAAGAACATGTTTCGTAATGATATGTATAGCAGGTTGTACATTAATAAATTTTGTTTTCTTTTGCTATTTGAATGATTAAAGTATGCACCTATCTTTTGAGTTAACCTCTACCAAAGCTCCTAGGCAAGAGACACACCGTTGCTTTGATCTTAAGGGCCTTGCTCCAAGTAGAGGCAAGGAAAAACTATACTACTTTCAGAAGAATAAAACAATACTTTAATGACAATACACAATATGATGGAACATAAAAGATTTAGATGGCAGATTCATGCATAAACAAATTTATTACCCTTTCTATTCACAAGGTCAAGAAAATGTTTTTTTTTTTTGTACAGCTCCATGGTAGACAACATCAGCAAATTTAATTAAAAAACCAATCATCAAAATTTCGCCTAGTGCTATTGCCAGTGATTGCCATCTAAGAGTCTTAACAAATTCACACACGGAAATATTAGTCATAAATACATTGACGCGAGTAACTAAAGTAACAGTTTTCAGTGCATTCAAATGAAGTCATTCTATTTTCCAAAAATGTGAATGTGCAATGCAGGATATTAATATAGATGCACACTACTCAAGCCTATTTAAAACCGAAAAAAAAAGATTATCATGAGGAAGTGATCGCCACAAGTACTTTATAGTTACATCTCTAACTTAATCTATTAATCTTCAGGGACACCGTGCTTATAAATGCAATATCTTGATCGAGTTTATGAATTCAAGCATGAATACTAAGCTCGTGACTTTCACTCTGTAATTCTAAAAATTATCAATACCCCTCAAAAAGAGATTGAACACACCCACTTAATCAATGTAAAAAAATAAAATAATATTTCTATCGACCATTTCGTCGAACAACTTACATGCACTAGAAATCAACAATCAAGTCATGAGAGAAAGAGAGACATAAAGAGAGAGGAGGAGAGGAATATGCAACTGGAATGAAAAGAGGGTTGAGGGGGAAAAAAAAGTGTGCCTATTAAAGAAGCATAGTTTATTGAAACGGAGTGTTTTTTGAATTGTTCCAATATCGAAGCGGCAAATCAAACCCTAATTCAACTGGTTTTTCAGGATGTAGTAGCATACACTTGTAATTTCTTCTGCTCTGCATTAACTATAGAAACACGACGTGATGAAAAGAGAGAACTTGAGATATAGAAAGAGAGACCAAGAGATAGTTGAACTTACAGAGAGGGTAAGGTGTCCTCTCTCACTCTCTGTAATTCGTCTCTCTAGAACTTGCACAGAGAGAGATGTGTCCGCTTCTAGGCCGTAAACAAATATTTTAGGATTTTGGCGGCTCAACCTAAATACTTCTCCTAAAACATTTCTTTTTTTAATATATTCCTGTTGACATGAAATAGTATTGTATTGTTTTGATTTTTATAAATTATAGTAAATATGGTATTGCTTAATTTTTTTTTTTTTTTTTTTTTTTTTTTTTTTTTGGTATGATATAGTCACTAAAAATATATCCCTTTAGGAAAAAGTTAAAAAATAAAATTTATTAAAGATTTATAAAATATTAAAATATTAATATTTTTAGAGAGCGAAAATGCACCAGTGAAGTATGCGATAGCTAAAATTTGATTACTCTAAAAAGTTAACGTGGCTATGAAAAATTCTGACGTGGCTATCGAAAAATATTGATGTGACAAATTCAGCGAGCCTAATTCTAGAGAGCCCATTGGAGATGCTTTAACAAAAAGAATTGTGCAAGTCGTTTGAAATTGACCAATGGGTAGCCCAAATGATCTCTCTTGGTAGGAGGAGTTGTATTGGTTTCAGAAATCTCGGATTAACTGGCTTAGATTGGGGGATCGCAATACAAAATTCTTTCACGCTTCCACTGCCCGTCGACAAAGCAGAAATCATATCTTTGGGGTTGAAGATTCTAATGGTGGCTGGATCGAGGAGGAGGATCAAATTCAAGATCTCTTTCTCAGCTACTTCCAAGATCTGTTCCATAAGACTACCCCTCAGGGAGTTGATCTTTTTCTCCGGCATATTTCGAATTGGGTTTCTTCAGACATGAATCAAACCTTACTTCAGCAACCGTCAGAAGAAGAAATCCGCAGGGCGGTGTTTGATATGCAACCTTGCAAAGCTCCAGGCCCAGTTGGTATGACTCATTTATTTTACCAACATTATTGGCCTATTCTTAAGTATGAGGTTATCGATGCGGTACGTAGTTTTATGCATTTAGGTCATCTATTATCTAGTATGAATCATACCAACATTGTTCTTATTCCTAAAATTCAATCTCCCACTTCAGTATCTCATTATAGACCTACCTCTTTGTGTAACGTGGCTTACCGCATTGTTGCTAAGGTGATGGCTAATCGCCTTCGTCAGGTTATTCCATTAGTAGTCAATGAGTCCCATAGTGCTTTTGTTCCGGGACGCCACATCACTGACAATACACTTATCACTCATGAAATTCTTCATTATCTTAAAAATAAACGTAAAGGGCAGAAGGCTTTTATGGCCTTGAAACTGGACATGAGTAAAGCCTCTGATAGAATTGAATGACACTTCTTATTGGCAATGATCAAGAAATTGGGTTCATCCGCATTGGATTCAACTTATCCATGTGTGTATATCTACAGTCTCGTATTCGATTATGATTAATGGTAGACCTGTTGGTATGTTTCGTCCTTCGAGGGGGCTCAGGCAAGGGGATCCTTTATCTCCGTATTTATTTATTTTGTGTGCTGAGGCTTTATCCATGTCTTTACAGCTTACTCTGCAGCATCGTGTTATTTCTGGGATCCGTATTTGTCCCCAAGCACCCTCTATTTCACATTTATTTTTTGCAGATGATTCTATTGTTTTCACCCAGGCATCTATGTCTGAGATTGCATTCCTGAAAAAGTTATTGCAGCAGTATGAACAAGCCTCTGGACAACAGATAAATTTTTCTAAATCTTCGATTTTCTTTTCCACAAATATGAGTGCTGAGGATCGTCTTGGCATTAGTCAGTTGTTGGGAATTCAGGAAGAAGGGTTGTGTGCCAAATATCTGGGAATGCCAACTCTGATTGGTCGTTCTAAATGGGATGTATTCCATTATATTACGAAACGTGTGGCTACACGTATGGCCAACTGGAAGTCTTTGCTATTATCTCCTGCGGGTGAGGAAATGTTAATCAAAGTTGTTTTAAATGCCCTACCGACATATGTAATGTCTTGTTTTCAATTACCCTGGAAACTTTGTGAGTCTATGCGAAAGATTATTAGGGGATTCTGGTAGGGATCAGATGGGGAATCTGCAAAAATTAGTTGGGTCAAATGGGATGTCTTATGTAAGGCAAAGGAGGAAGGGGGATTAGGGTTTCGTAATTTTGAGGCGTATAATGTGGCATTAGTGGCTAAGCAGGGGTGGCATTTTTAAGTTACTCAACAAGGGTTGGCTTTCAAGCTTTTTAAAACCAAATACTTTCGCAATTGTTCTTTCTTGGATGCGCCATTGGGGTCTAACCCCTCTTGGGCTTGGAGAAATATTTGGTCTTCACAATCTCTCTTGGGTATTGGAGCCCGGTAGGTGGTGGGTAATGGTCACTCTATTAATATTTGGAAGGACCGATGGGTGTCTGGTATTTCTGGCCTTCTACCTCGCCCATATGTTGAGGGGAATCCCAATATGGTGCATGAACCTTTTAATTCCTCTGGGACTGGTTGGAACGTGGACTTGCTTAATTGTTTATTTCAATCGTCCGTTATGGCTAATATTCTTGCTTGTAGTTTCAGTTTTTGCTCTAAGGAGTATGAGTTAGTTTGGGGTGAGGAGACTTTGGGTAGGTTTTTTATTAGCTCTGCCTATCGTTTAGCTAACCGCATGTTCAGAGCAAGTGATTCTCTTTCTATGCATCGTCATCCAGTCGACTATCCACATTTGAATGGTTAGAACAGTTTATGGAAATGTAACGTCCCTCTTAAAATCTAGCATTTTTTGTGGAAATGTTGTCAGTCTGCTCTTCCAGTGCGTTGTCTTCTCAAACTTTATGGTATGGAGGTGGAGCTTGTGTGCCCTAGGTTACTTAAGACCTATTATCCCCTTTGAGTATTGTTTCCTGGGTTTCCTCTCAGTTTTGGGAATTCAAAGAAGCCTTTACTTCTACGGGTCATTCTCTGGTGCCTACTTCCCAGGGAGGTGCTCCATTTACCACGTTTCTCCTTCCCCTGTCCAATGGTCTCCTCCTCTTATGGATATGGTTAAATGTAATGTGGATGCTTCGTTTTCTTTATCGACCAGAGTTGGTGGTGGAGGGGCAGTCTTCCGAAATTCACAGGGTCAGATTCTGAATGCGGTGGTATTTTCCCCTTTTACTTCGTCTAGTGCTTCTCAAGCTGAAGCTATAACTCTTCGAAAAGCTCTCTTGTGGGCATTGTCTCTGTGTTATGATCGGGTTTGGTTTGAATGTGATTCATTGTTGGTGGTTTAGGCGGTTAATGGCGTGGATGCCGGTCCGGTGGAGATTCATTCTGTTTCTTTCAATGTGCAAGTGCTTTTGGAGCGGTTCTCCTGTTCTCTTCTTAGTCATGTCTGTCGGCATGGCAATGGAATCGCCCATACGCTTGCTCAACTTTCACGGCCTCATATTTCAAGTGATATTGATCTAATTCATATTCTAGCTGATATCTTGGAGCTAGCAGCGAAAGATTGTTAGCTTGGTTTTTCTTGCTGTTTGTTTGCCAAGGCAAAAAAAAAAAAAAGATCTCTCTTGGTAGAGACCAGGTTGAGAACTGTAGTTTGCGTTTTTATTTTAAGCTTTCAGAGATAAAAAATAATAAATAAATTTAATGGAACTTGATTTGGCATATCAAAAATTGGGGATGTCGGTTTGGAGCAGACTTCCCTTTTCTAAATAGTAGTATATGTCACATAAATAAAAATCTTTTTTTAAATTTGAACCGTAAAGAAGGTCAGAATGGACAGGCGGCAGGATAATTGACATCTCAACATGTAATAATTGAAAGTTATGTCTCCATTTTTAATATGGAGAAACTTAGGTCCTCATTGATGAGAATGTATTCCATTCGGACCTTAAATGTGAATTAATAACAAATAGATACATACATTTTAATTACAAAATCATTGTGATGGGAGTATATACTCATAAGTGAGAATGTAAATATTCTTTTTTAATTATTCTTTTGATTTTATAATTAAAAAAAATATGTTCATTTGTTTACTAGTATGAAGTATGAGCAATTAAATATTGTCCTTTTACTATTATTCTTATGTGTTAATACCATTGAGCTTTATAAAAACACTAAAGTTATATTAAAGTAATGCAAAGCGATATTATGAGCCATAAACTTTCCTCTAAATCAGAATATTTTTTCATTGTGTTTTATTATTATTATTATTTAGAATTTGGGTTTTTTTTTTTTTTTTTTTTTTTTTTGGACAAGAAACTTAACTCCCACTCGAATGTGTCTGTGGAACTTGAACTCTATATTATTTTTTTAAGACGCGAAAAAGTAGCATGCGATCAAAGCCATTGGTGGTGTCGGTTGATTTATGTTGACTGCCGCAAGTATCACAAAGATTTCCATTCCCTTTTCTTTAGGATTTTAATGGGTTGATTAAATCACATCTTCAACAATTTAGTAAAAGTCATTCAAACCACCATACTTCTGAATTCACTTTTGCTTCTAGATATATATTATATTTCAATATGGAGCTAGGCTTACAAAAGGAAATTCAGAAGTTCAAAGTGGATTTATTTTTTATAGGCGACTATACAAATATGAGTGAAAAACTCATCAATTAAGAAGCAAGTTGAGAAATACAACAGATGCAACTACAAGGGCTAAACACAATTTTCAACATTCCCTGTTGATGATAGAGAAAGAGTTTGATTGTGGAATTTAGAGGGACAATCCAGACTCCTCATCCTCTTCAAGGGTGGAAGTGTAGGTAAAGTAGAGAGCCCAAATCAAAGCAAACACACCCAAGAGGATCCAAGCAAGCAGGTTGTTGCTCAAACCAAAGGGAAGCCCTGTTCCTTCTGTGCTTAACCTCTCATCCACCAGAGCCATGGCAGGGCTCGACACGGTTGCGGCACAAGCTGCCGCAAACAACGACGCACCCATGCCCAAACTTGAGCTGCTCTCCTCCACACATGGCTGCTGCTTTCCCTCCATGGAACATCTCACTCCTCCCTTCTTCGCCATTGCCGGCAACCCTGTAAACAAATTTCAACCAATTTAACCTAACAAACCCATAAGTTTCTAGGTCTTTTTCTAGTTGAATTTCCAAGAAATACAATAAAAGTAAGCTTATCGTGCACAACACTTACCAAGAACAGGAGAGGATGAAACCACCAATGAACCCTTGTGCACAACACTTGTGAGTGCAATTGATGAGGTTGGACTGCAAGCAGTTATGGTGGCCATACTTGTGATCTAATTGAGAATTGAAATAAATCTGGCACACAATTACCACTGCTAGAAGTTGTAGCCAAGGGATCAGTTTATTGCATACACATTGGGATGTAATATACAAATTAATATCATTGTCATTTCCACTGCACCACAAAGCATATGGATAGATGGAAGAGCTTCTTATCCTCAATAAGCCAATCAATTTCCTCCACGTGTCACATCATCCCTATACTTCCCCAACCCCAAGCCAAAGGGGCAGTTTGGACCTGCCTGAACTAGGTGTCACATTAAACTAGTGGACCCCCTTTCTCAATAGAAAGATCCACTTGCTTTCATCTTCGATTTCCTGCCTCAAAAAACATTATCATTGGCCATGAAAAGTGGGCTATTTGAGTTAACCTCCAAACCAAACATCACCACAACCCTGTTTAGGGTTAAGCATTTCCCAACAGAATATTCTTAAGAGCCTGGTTAATATCTAAAGAATTTAGATCAGTATACTTTTAAAAAAAAAAAAAAAAATGAGTAATTCTAGAAATGAATTATGTACACACAAAATAACCAGCACTAAACCACCCCAAGGGGCTTTTTCATCCCCGTTATTGCTAAAACTGACTCAGCTCCTAGACAATTTACGGCCGGAAAAATGAGAAATGGAGAAACAATGAGTTGAAATTTACACGGAAAATTTTTGACTCAATTCAATGTTCTAATGTGGGATTTAACTAGCTTTGGATATTGCAGTGTTGAAGGTAGGGATGCTCATTGTCAATATGTTTCCACCAATACGCCTTGTACTCCTCGATCCCAATCTCCAACCATGGCTTCGAAAGTCCATCATAATGTATGACTGCTGCCTGCTCGATATCACTCCGCCTGACACTGGAGTCATAACCCAACCCAAGGACGTGCCATCTGCCGTTCAACGCCACTGTCTGCTTGTAGAAGGTGACCCAACCTATGGGCAAGCTACCAGCTTTCCACAATGGCCTCTTATTTCCCTGCACCAACCAATAAAACAAGTATTGGATATTAGATGAGTGCTTGGACCGAAGTTACTATGACTCATGACAAGGATTGCTTTATAGACAATCCTTCCGATATTCTGCAAGCATCCATGCACCAATTACAGAGGGAAAATCCATCTAAACTGGTGACTTAAAACTCAAAAGTACTTGGACATATATGAACAAAATACAGTATTGTACGTGAATATTCTTCAGGTACAATCAACCCAAAAATTACAACAAAGAAACTACATAATGAGAATTGAAAGATCAAAGAAGCCAATATGACAAGAATAATGTATATACAAGAGTACTAATGGGAGGCTACTATGAGCTGCATTACATGAAAAGGTATCACCAATATGATCTCATTAATTGAGATTACTGGAGCCTCATACTGGGTACTTTCCTAAGGTTTACATTATTTGCACAAAATATGCAACACACATGTGCTACATAGTGGTAATTTATGATATATAATAAGAATATAATGGACCCAAAAAAGAAACACGTGGTACAAATCTTTGTGATCAACACTGTTTTCTGTAGCATAGTAATGAATAGTATAAGTTTTTATCACACTAAATACACACGCATATAAGAGTTGTGAAGAAGCACAAGAAAGGAATTTTTAAATGAAAAAGTAAAAAAGAAACACAAAGCAGAAAATAGATCCTTCAAAGACAGAGAGCTACACTTTTTTATACAAAATTACAGAAATACAGAGCGAACTCAACTGAAGGCACAAAATTAAAGTGGGAACTCAACTGAAGGCATGAAATTATCCTTCTAAGGAGAACTATTGGATCTTTCCAATAAAAGGGACGTATGAGAGGAAGAGTTGAATGTTTTAAGATGTCAATAAATATAATCCAAGCGCAAATAAGCATGCAAGTAAGATAATGATGGTAACACATGAATTTCATACCAGTTGCAAATATTTGTGATACAGCCCAGTTAAATTGCGTCTCCTCCACTCTCTGAGATCAAATATATTCATCCCGAATGCCCAAGTGCATGCCTTGACATCAAACCTTTTTGCCACAAATGGGTCAGAGAAGTTGATAAATGTATCCATCTGACGGAATGAAGGTTCATCATCTTTCGGACAAGTCTGCACTGCTCCAACTACTTTGCCCATCATATTGAGATTCCATAGTCCTGTTAGATCTCTTTGCACAACCACATCATGGTCAAGGAACAGAATCTTATTCAGCATAGGGAAAACATCAGGCAGATAGAAACGAAGGTGATTCAAAGCAGAAGTGTATCTCAGGTCACGGGAATTCTTCTTTTGCAATGTTGCACCATATTTGGAGGACAACCATCCAAAAGTTTCTACACTCTGCACCTGAACTGTGGCTTTACCTGGAGGATTTAGTAAGAACCACATTGAGATTGCTGGGAGGTAGAGAGAATCGGTCACTACATGGAAGGCAATTCTCTCTGGTTCCTGTGAATATTCAAGCACACAATTCACTTTTGATTCAATGTATCATTAAGTACACAGCAGTTATTTTCTATTTCTTGGTAAAAGTTAGTTATTGGTCCTAATTAATTGACCAATGAATGATTTCAATATCATTCTACTACTTTAGGGGTTATCTGTTCGATCATCAATATCTTTCAACAGCATTATGGGCTAAAGAGGTATGGAAGAGAACATTTGGCATGATAAGTTGAACGATATTGTGGATTATCTTACATACCCAAATATATACAAATTTTCACATTCCCACTTTTATTTTATCGACATCACAACAAATCAAGTTGCTTCAAGAGCCACTGAAGTAAAGTTTTGAAAGACTGGCAAACCATCAACATGGAAAGGCATATTCTTATCCAATAAAAAACTTCAAATTCATGTGAATTAGTTCACGAACAACAATGACATCTAGACAAGGACACAATGGTCCTTTCACAATTAAACAGGGGTTCAAATAAACAAAATCTGGTCAAGACCTAAGTAGGGGGGACACGGACATGATAAAGCACCAATACATTGGCAAGTCAATTTCTAGAAATATAGGTCAAGGATACGGCATGGAGACAACTATAATAAATAATTTTTTATTTACATACTTCTATTGAGTAGGACTATTATAGAACTTTAAATAATTTTTAATTTATATAAGGAGATTTACTCCAACATAATTTAAAACATAATATAAAGGCTACTATTTTACTACTTTGTCATTAAAATTATATTTTTTTCTTGTATAAAAAAGTATCATTCTAGGCTTGACTTGTGACCATGTGTACAATGTCAACATTTCTTAAGGAAAAAGTTGGACACTTGGAGAAGTCTTCATATTTTTTTCAAGATTGCTGAACATGGCTCCTCTAGATGTATTTGTGGTATATGAGATTTGTGTTAAGGATACCTGGTAAGTGTCGGTCAAATGTCCACAAATTGTCAGCGAACTGTCCCAAAGTGTTGGCTAAATATCTCAAATAACTAAATTTATTTTCAAATTATGGACGTCCATGAAGTATCGGAATATGTAAATTGGGGTGCACAAACGATGGAGCCATAAAAAAAAATAAAAAAAATAAAAATACTGTGATATAAACAATATAAATGCATTTACAGGTTTCAAGTTCTACTTAAATAATCAGATAGTTATGCAAGTGGGACCTTTACAACAGTTTGCACAACAAACGTGCATTGCATACCATCCCAGAGGAATTTACTCTAGCCAAAACAAAACAAAAAAAAAAGGAAGAAGAAGAAGAAGTGGATATCTGTGCTACTATATTAATGTCAGTGACATTTTTTTATGAATATAATAGAAATACTAATTAGTTTATACATTTTTAATAATTAATTAATCCATGTGTATAATCTAATTCCTATTTTTTATAAACATTATTTAATGAAAAAAAGAAGAAGATATTTATGATATATATATATATAAGTAAAGTCGATTAGAAGAGCGTTCAAAAGGGGAACGCGTCCCTAATACAAAAAATGATAATTGAACCTAAGGACCAATAGAGTCCAAAAGATCAACTAAGTCATCAGTCGAGGAGCAAACACTTCCTTTCACATAACAGAAAATAGAACGAAGAATATAAATTTTTAAGTTCGCCAAAGTTGATTCCTTTCCTTTGAAATTTCTGCTATTTCTCTCTCTCCAAATACACCACCAAACACAGTGTGGAACTATCCTCCAATAGGCACGAGCGTGACCTTTCACTGGGCATTTTCTCCACTCGTTAATAACAGAAAATATTTATGATAAATTTTCAATTTACAAACAGTGTCCATCAACTTTTTTGTTTTTTGAATAAAATTTTAATGATAATTAATCAACTGTTTCATTTTTAATGACAATTAATCACGTTTAATTTATATGAATCCTCTTCACTAAATTTCACACACAGACCTATGGTCCTATACTACTATAAAAATATCATTAAACATTTTTATTTTTATATACATTTTTAATGAAAATAATCTATTCTAATACAATGTCAATAATGAGGACAGGGATGATTAAGCAAAAATAAACAAACACACGAGAGATGGTACATTTTTGTTTTTTGAATACAATTATAATGATAATTAATCAACTATTCCATTTTTAATGACAATTAATCACGTTTAATTTATATGAATCCTCTTCTCTAAATTTCACACACAGACCTATGGTCCTATACTACTATAAAAATATCAATATACATTTTTAATGAATATAATATATTCTAATTCAATGTCAATAATGCAGACAGGGATGATTAAGCAAAAATAAACAAACACACGAGAGATGGTACAAACAAAGATCAGGAATCTTACACTAGCAGAGCTAATGGTTGAGTTCACAACCACTGCAGAAGCCAGAACATTATCAGAGAAGACAGCAAAGTGGTAGAGATCTGGATTTTGTAGTTTGTGTTGGTTAGGTAGCTCCCGCTCCTTCAGCGGTAAAGCAAAGAACTCAGCAGTCAGTCGCATGGAAAGGCAGTGAAGGCCTTTTGGGGTAGTCATTCCGGCAAGCCGAACAAGATATGACACTTGATTCTTCTGTGTTCTAATCCGTTCTTCAGCATTGTGAGTCATGGCACGCAGTTTCATAGCCATGGCAGAGCAATCTTTGTATATGCGGCTGGCTTTTGACAATGAACCCTCCATGGATCTCATCTTCTGCAGAGCACTGAAAAGTCTTCTGCTTGTTAGATCAAAATATAGATATGTCTTACTCTTCAAATGACAAGGGGCATCTATCGTACACAGTTGCTCAATTACACATCTCACATGAAACCAACTAACTATATTTGGTTCTAACATAACATAATAATCGTCTGCACAGTTCTTAGTAACTATTTGAAAAATATATATTTTTTAGTCCAGTTCAACTGTTCAAGTACCGTGTACTCATGAGTTTGTAAAGCTGCATCAGTGGAAAACAAAGGATAAAAAATCCAAGTCGGGATTTTAAAACACAAAAAAAAAAAAAAATTTGATTCTAATTAATGAAACAATCAATGTAATTCCTGATTAATATTTTTCAAAATTTGTTTAATTCAATGTAAGAATATGAACATTGTATTTCTTTTTACCATGTGCAAATGCTTTTATAAGAAAATATACACATACATGCATAAATTTATTAATAATTAATATACAACAACAACAAGCCATTTCCAAACTACTTGAAGTCAACTACATGAATCCTATATTTCCATTCTGCTCTAATTAAGGTCACATTCTCAGTCAATCCGCATGCTATCATGTCCTTCCTTACTAACTCTACCCACATTAACTTTGGTCTTTCCTCTTCCCCTAGTATTACCCTCAATGTGGACTATGTCAAATTATTCAGCAATTAGATGCTTATAATGAGCCCTCCACATGTGTAGGCATGTAGCTAAGTTGTTTAGAAATCTGAACCCAAAAGTCCAGGTTAAACTCCTTGCGAGATACTAGCTCACTTCACCAGGTTTATAAGCAAGGGGAGGGGTGGATGCGAATGGTCTCAACTCTAAACAAGGTGGGGCAACTTCTACAACACCAACAAAACAGAAGAGATAAATAGATAAGAAAGAAGGGGGAAGAGATGCTATAGTATGACAGAATAAAAGAAATGCCTTACTTCCTAGGCAGCTGAGAATCCTGGGTGCATTCACCCACAGCTTTCTCTACCTCTTTAATACGTAGTCTCAGCTCTCTTACTAATTGGGAGTTGCTGTTTGGTGGAGCAAAATTCAAGTACGCCTTGGCCCGAATCACCTGATCCCTCATCTGTTTTATCCTCACATCTTTTGGCCTTTGCGACTTGGACTGCACATTCTGATCATGCCTAACTGTTGCCTGTTTGGATTGTTCCTGCTACATAAAGCAAACCAAAACAACATTCAGGCTGCAAGGAGAAAAAAGATAAAAAATAATCGCAACAAACTCAAGCCTTTGAATAGCTTCCTAACAAACACCACAAATAAAGAGGAGGAGGAGGAGGAGGAGGAGGGAAACCTGCTGATGTAGGAGGGGAAAGAAAGCTGGGAGGAGGGGGAAGAAAAAGAGGAGAGAAAGAGAACAAGAGGTAAACAGAAAAAGAATAGAGAGAACAAGAAACTTTAAAGCAAACAACTCATCAAAATAAAGCCAGTTCCCACTATACAAAGGCATAATATATAGTCAACTAAAATAAGGAAAATAACGAAATAATCACCCAAAAGAAACTCAACTAAATTCAACCCAACTACTTGGGTCGGTTACGTGAATGCTGCTCTATCTAAGGTCATTGCCTCAACAAACAATGTAATCAAAACTTAGTAAAATATGAGATGAAATGCTATCCAAAATATAAATTTTAAATAAGCAAATATCTAAAATTAAGTAAAATATGAAGATGAAATGCTATCCAAAAACTAACACGTTAGATTGTGCACCGCACGTCGGTCCCATCCTAATCCTCATCACCTATTATTCCAAGAAAATATCATAATCATTCAAAGGGATGTTTCAAAGTACTTAAATCCACACAGAACTGTGGACAGACATGTTACGTCACCAGTTGGACAGACCTTTTTTTTTATAAGTAAGATTTCATAAAGGCGCTCAAGAGGGGAGCGCTCCCAAAAGAATACACAAGACGCCAAAGGCGACAACTATAACTTTAAGCAATCCACAAAGTCCAAAAGATGTCCCAAAGATTTACAATTGTGCCCATGAACCCAAAAAACATAATGAATATACATCACCGGTTCAAAGTTTCCTCATATCAGACACTCAATTAATCAGCTCAGTTCCCATGAACCTTTAAATTCAAACCTTTCAAGCCACAATAAAAGCCCCAGAACAGCTTATCTCCTATATCTTCCTCTAAATAAAAAAAATAAAAAAATAAAAAAATCTTATCTCTGGCCAAATTTGAACAACGAAAAATATATCCATTTCATTCTCAAATATAGTAGTAAATGATTCTCTTTTCCCCTGTGGTTTGTAAATTCTTCAATTTCTCATTCAGAAATCTCGTGTGCCTTTGAAGGTTTAAGTCCGAAAACAGTGATTTTTTTTTTTGTTTGAAACAAGCTTAGCAAGGGATTCTAAAGGTCTCCATATCGTTTATTCCAAGCAATTGTGGTATGCAATTCCTTTCCAGAACTTTAGGAAGACCGACCAAAAACAGTATCACAGTTCACACAATGTCGTAAATATCTGAGACTTTCAAAAGGTTTCTAAACAGACTCCTTATAATATTATTATCCTTTTTCCCAAAAAAAAAGGTTTCTCAAGTATAGTTCAACATTAAAAGAAACATGTACAGCCAAACACTAAAATTAAATATCATGTTCTTCTCTATTGGAAAAATCACAATTGATGTCTAAAAAGTCCCTAAATTCCTCAAACTAAATATGGGGACATCTTGATTATCCCATGCAGCAAATAAGAAAAAAAATAAAAAATAAAAAACATAGAGGTTGAAATAATTCAAGAAATTATAATTGTAGGAATTTAAGAATGGATAAAATAAATAAATAATCATAAGAGGACAGGCAGCCCAATCAAGGTATTCAGCCTCTAAATACTGCAATGATTAACACTTTGAACAAAAAAAAAAAAAAAAAAAAAAGGCAAAAGAAAGGAAAAATCATGAAGTAGAAACAGATAATAATAACGACAAAAAGAGTAATAAAATTAGTACCACAAAGGCTCATAACTAAAAAAAATTAAAAAAATGATAACTTAACAAACTCCAGAGTTTCTTTAGTATTTCATAGTAAATTCGTTTCAGTTCAGAAAACCTGATGTAGATCGCATGCAGCAAATAGGAATGCAAGAAATTCTACCAAAAAAAAAATAAATAAATAAAAAAGAAGAGAAGAAAAGAAATAAAAGGGTCTAAAAGATATACTATAACAACCCATAGAGAGGTTAAAATAATTCAAAAAATTATAATTGTAGGGATTTAAGAATAGATAAAAAAATAAAAATAAATAAATAATAATAATAATAATAAATAAAATCATAAGAGGATACGCAGCCCAATCAAGGTAGAATCAAAATAGAAGAAGAAGAAGAAGAAGAAGAAGAAGAAGAAGAAGAAGAAGAAGAAGAACCTAAACATTTGTATACTTAATATTTAAGCAACAAAATTACCTAAAAAAATAACCGAAGAAAGTTAAGAAACTAATAAAATTCAATAAATATATCATCAAGTATATAAGATATATAAAAAATCTTGTCAACTGCACCAAGAGCACAAGGATGATTCTTGCATATACCGACAAAAATTAGATTTAATTGACTTTCAAAGTGGAGAACTGAACATTTTTTACAAATACCCACATGTTCACCTCGAAATTCAATCAGTTGAGATAAATAAGTTGGAACATGATGGTAAGATCAATGTAATGTAAGCTTTTGATTATACAGACTCCCCATCACATGTATCAGTCTTTCCTTCTTTGTTAGCAATGTTGCCATATTCCTAATTGAACTTCAGTAAGGAGACAGCTGCAACATAGGCATGGAACATTGACGCATGCATCTAGTATTCTTTTCTTGTGTCCATAAGGATACAGCTAGCAGAGGCCGTTATTTTTATTTATCTTGTCAAATTATTTGCAGTGATGTCAGCAGTGATAACATACTCCTAAATGAGCTTTAACAAAGTATAACAGAGATACAAAGGAGACATAAGAACACTGATGAGTGCATCTTGTACTTGTTTTTCCCCAAAGCACGTGACTAGTAAACTATTCAGTTTAATCTATAGGCATATTTAGTATTTAGTTCCATTTTCATTTTTTAATCGCTTATTTGGTTAGATTTCATTAAAAAGCACTCATACTACTACACCCACATAACTCATTTGAAAAGGGTGTCCACATCAGAAAGAAAAAAGAGGGGGTTTACGTATTTTAGTTTACTTCCTAGCTTTATTCATGCCAAAGTGAGGTATGCATTGATGACAGATATACTTATTTTAAGAATTTATTTAAAAACAGTCTTGAGCACTTCATGTTGCAACAGATTTTTCTATTCATCCATCTAACTATGCATTGTCTTTCTCATACGGATACACAAAATAAAGTAGATCTTATAGAGCCTTCTAAGCTGACTATATTACTTATAAATATAAAACCTCTCTCTCCAGATGGTTAAAATGTTCAATCAGAACTGGTCCTCTTCTGCACTCTTGGCTTAGGAGTTGGCTTTTGTGTCAACCCTTAGGTCAGGAATTCAAGGACTGGTAGAGAAGGAAATGAAATGGCTCAATCAGGAAGTTTAGCCATGCTCCACAAAATATTTATTCTTTTTGGCTATGAAATAGTAATTTAAAATATAAATTCTTCAATAAAACCATTGAGTACTTTGAAATAAGTTCAATAACCTAAAACATGTACTTATCAAAGTAGGGTTGAAATCCTATAAACTAGAGGCTCATTTTCAATTATATTATTATTCAGGATATCTAAAATTTAGCAAGTTTCACTGTTCTATATATTTGTTGGGGCAATGCCGTTCACTGCCTTAATTTAAAAGGAAGAGGGAGGGGTGGTGGAATTCCCTGGGTACCAAATCAGCATTCGTGCATGGCAGAACTGATCATATTTCAACAATGACCACCAGAAGAAAATTCAAATCCTAAACCCCGAAATTGCAGCACTTTATAATCTTAAATTTGATTTAGGTAAATGACTTCACAAGAAATTTTCTTTTCCCCTTTTAAATTTTAACAAGCACGTAACCATATCCTCCAGGCTAAAAGAGCACATGGTAAACTTGTCAGGCTTGTCTGTAGTCAACCACACATTTAGACGCTCAAACGACATATATTATGCAATTAAAAGGTATACCTCCAGAACAAGTAGTATAAAAGAAATACATATTACAAAGGATTCGTTATAACACCAAAAGAAATAGCTCTTTCCATCTTCTGAATTCAAAAGATAGGATTTTGATCTACGATTTTTTATTTTAAAGTTAACTTCTTCGTATTCGTAAATATACTCGCTGGGGCTTGAACTCTCGTGGAGGACATACAAAAATCAAAATTACACCAAATTTAAAATTATCAACAATATGAATTCAGATATCATACGTTTCCATCAGATGCAAAAGATACTTTTCCCAGCTGATTTTGATGATTAGCTTCTCTAGCATCTTGATTGGTTCCTAAAAGATGAACCCAGAGAAAATAGAACTGAAGTCAGAACAGATGAGAATAAGAATTGAAAAATGAAAGAAGCACATTCAATGAAATCAACCATTTCTTTCCGGCGTATTAGTACTGCTTTTGGCACTTCCTGTTTCCTCACTTTCAGTATTTTCTTCAGTGGAACTGTAGCTAACTACTGATTTAAGAGCTCCATCTTTGTACACAACAGATGTCGGCTCTTTGAAGCCTTCAACCACTTCCTAAACCACAAAGCAGAACCAACTCCATAAAAATGAGAACAAAAAAACAAATACTAAATCTTCCAGACAAACCCTTATAAAAGAAACAGAATCTAAATTACCTGCTCAATCGCGTTAAGTTTTTGAGCATCTGTCCTGATTTTCTGAACCCAAAATCAAAACAAAGAATTCAATATCTATTAGATAAACATCTAAACTACAGTTAGTTGCTTAGAAGTAGATGAAAAATAAATAAATAAAATAAAGACAATACACAAGAACTTTGAATTTTGTAATTCACTACTAGGGACTGACAATTGAACCTTATATAACTATTTGACTTAATTCAGATGAGCTTCTGATTCATCTCAAAACAAAACAACATATAAAGAATTTTCAAGAATATCTGTTTAATTTTCCTCATAAAATTAGCAATAATCAAACAGACACCAAGAAAGCAATACGGATAATAACGATTGCTATAGAAGAGGGGAATTCATACAATATTCGTTAAATCTTCACTGAACACTTCCGATGCTGCAAGAAAAGATTCACAAAACAGCCAAACATTCACACGAGTAAGAACAAACCAAAATATATTGCTAACAAAATATAATTCATCTTGTAATCAATCACATATACAAATATATACACATGTATATGCACAAAAACATTACCGTCAGAAGTGTGAGTCTTGAGCCTATCGGAGAGTAGAAACATTGGAACGAACACAGAAACAGCAAGCAAAGAGAGGATGATTATCCTCGTGCATCGACGGAGTTGCTTCATCAATGATCACTTCATGAACATCCGCCGATTAAACGGATGCCTTACTCTAGGGTTTTCAAACATTCATCGAGATTCAGATCAAGATTCTTTACTTCGATAGAGAGATTAGGTTTTCTTTGCTCGTTTCTTGCTTTTACACGTTATTGATAAAATCGCCTTTCACTTTGTTGGTTTTTAGAGAGAGGGAAGAGAGAGTTTTAGAGAGAGAAAGAGAGCGGTGAAGGAGGAGAGAAATGTGCCATGTTCGGGACTGCAACGATTTATGATATATATGGTGTATTATGTTGGGGCTTTATATAGTTTTGGGATTTGCCGTTTGAGTGGAGATTTGGAACGCGAGAAGGACCATTGATGATGGTGGGTCATTTATGGGTGATGGGGCATGAATGTGATGGCCACCATATACCATAGTCACCACAATTTTAATTACATTGAGAATTTGTGAGCAAAAAGTTCATACCTAACTACCTAAGATGATGATTAATAAATAACCAAAGCCTCTACTTTTTATTATTATTTTATAAAAAGTAATAAATAAAATTTATTCCAAAAAAAGTTATTATCCCTATTTATTACTTTTTAAATTTTGTAATTAAAAATTATTTGTATATTTGTGATTGGACTACATCATATGTCCTAATACCCTAAGTTAATCATTAAAAAGACATAACAATTTTTTTAGCTTCACTTTGGGGTTTTTTTCTTTTCTTTTTTTTTTTTTTTTTTTTTTTTTTTTTTTGCCTCCTCCAAAAAAGTAGTTCCAAGGCTGTATAGGTTGAGTGATAAATCAAGAGATTTATTAAAGGATATGTATCATTTTACTTTTTCACATATCTTAAAAGCGAGAAAAGCTTATGGTAATTCCATATTATTAGTGTCATTAATCAATTATGTTTTGTGTCATAACTAAAAGCGCATTTATTTTAATGGATTTATCACTACTTATAAGCATGAGAAGGTGATACCTTCCCATCAATATCTCAAAAGTAGCATTATGTTGTGTTTCGGCACATGAAATTAAAGAAAATTTTGGTTTAATTTTCTAACTTATTTTTTTTAATTTTATCAATTTCAATTCTAAAACTCAAATTTTATGTACACCAAACATATTTTCCAAAAATTTTGTCACATGCCATGATATAAAACAATTTACTTCATTGAGAATTACAACACAAATGTGAAATATATCACATTTACAAAATGCTCGAATGTGCCACGTTTACGATTACAATGATTTATACAAGGAAAATTAAATAGAGATTTATAAGTTGAGTGTCTCACATAAAGGGGACCAGCAATTGCAGTTGTGATAGAGCCCACCTATTTGTAAGAAACTCCACTAGGCAGATTAGGTCGGTGCTATATCAGTGTTATTCGTATAATATGTGTGTGTGTGTGTGTGTACATATTATTTTGGCACTTTATATAGTTTGGGGCCTTTGGGCCCTTTTGGGGTTTGCGTGGAGACTTGGGAATGCCCGAATGTGATTGGTCATTATATACCATGGTCAGCACAAGTTTAATTACTTATGAGACTGGAGAGTTATGTGAGCAAAGTTCGCACCTAAGATGATGAATAAATGACCAAAGCCAATGTATTATTATTATTATTATTATTTTGAAGAAATCTTTTAAGTCCTCTAAACATAAGAAGATTTGAGTTGTACCATTTTTTTTTTTTTTTGGGTGAAAATTAGTTCTTAGCTCTCTACATATTAAGTATTAGATTAATGTTCTGATTGGTAGGAAAGAAAAAAATTGAATGGAAGGGAAAGAAAAAACTTGAACGGAAGAATTAGATATCTTAAGAAAAAGATGGTGTATTTCTTTATTTGAGATTGTATATTTTCTTCTTTTTGTTCAGTTAGATAGAAGAGAAATAATAAACTCATAATTTATTATATTCGTTAAGAGAGAAGAAAATAGAGTTTTAATTTTTGTTACCATTATATCCAATAATATTTAAAATTTGTATAATTTATGATAGTATTAAATTTAAACTTGTCCACTTGTCTTCACTCATTTCTTCCCCTCATTTTTTAGATGATGAAAATTTGTAAAGAATGAAGGATGTGTCATCCTTCCTATTTTTCTTTCTTTCCTTATATCATCTTTACCAATCAAAGGAAGTTCTTTCGTTCCTTTCTATTTTCTCTCCACACCTCTTATTTCCTTTCTACCGAATGCAACATAAAATATATTTAACTTAAAAAAAACACATTAAATGTTAAATTTCAAATCTCATTCGAAATTACAATAGGAATGTTAAATACGTAGAATTTACAAAATGCCAAATATATTGATTTTCATTTATATTCATTAACTTACTAAAACAAAACACCAATCTTTTTAATGACCACGACAACCTATAATTCATGAATATTATTTATAAGTGTTAAGTGGTCTTCAAATTTTCAATATGAAATTACTAAATTCACTAAAAAATTATTTTTATTGAATTATGTAATAAAATGTTGTGAATTGATGATGATGTTAAAAAAATTTACATATATATATAAGAAGGCAAGACGGGTTAGAAGTTAAATTAGTAAATGCAAAGAGTCGAAACCTGATACTACAAAATTCACTGAAGGCACTAACTCACTCGACTATTGAGACATCGACAAACAAATACCAGACTACATCTTTTAGCTCTTATCTTATATATTTGAATTCTTGAATATATAATAAGAGACATTTTTTAGGGGGAAAATGATTTTTTATTTTATTTTTTATTGGCAAAGATATTACTCAGACCCAAACTTTGGTAGGGTTTTCAAGTTTCAAATATCACACTAACAATTTTATATCTACAAAATTAAAAACTCGATGATTTAGTAAGAATACAACTAGAATATATTTTGCATTGTCCAAAAAAAATTGTCCGCGTACAAAATTTAAAAGAAAAATACTACTATATTGAGATATAAAATTAAGGGTTTCTTCGATACATTTGATAAAATTGGAAGTTTGGAACCATACAGAAAATACAAAATCGAGATGGGTCATTGGGTTTTGAACCAAATTGGGAACAGGGCTCTACTTAATTGTTCTTTTGTGGTCCATAGCTTCTTCACTGTCACCAATTTTGAGGATTAATATTTGTTGTAGGCCGAAGTTGCTATCATATTTTCTCCACACTCGAAGCCCACGTCACGAGACAGTGAGGATTTGTCAAAGGCTTTGCTTTAATTTCTAGATTTAGGTGAACCAAATTTATACCATATCTGATGTGATTCTAAGCTAATAACACCTATGCTTTATTTCTTGATTTAGGTGAACCAATTTTATATCTCCTTCTTAATTAATAACACACCCACATGTATACCAGCGCAACCTATCAAAACTTCCAACACTATGTTACAATCATTAGTTGGAGAAGTAGTTCGCTGTATCGACTTATACGTGACGTATCGATCAGAGAAATTAAATTAATGAGAATATGATAGTTTTGTATGATATTACTTGCATACAAATATATATATATATATATATAGAGACACAATTTAAATATAATAGTTACATGTAAAAGAAATAAATCAAATAAAATATAAAAGTAAAGTTAAAGAAATGATATAGAGAGGCACGTTATAAACACGTTGACCTAAAGTTGATAGATCTCCCCTATGTGCAGGTACGGACGGTGCTAATTAACTCCAAGATACAACCCGATCAGCTCTCAGCAGCACTTCCTCTATGTGCACGACCTCAGGAAGGAAAAAGGACCAAGTCTCCAATGTCGAGTTGCCCAAAATAGTGAAATATATGTGAAAGATATTGATAGGATAATCTCTGGAAAAGGTAATACGCAAATGTGGTAGAGTAGTTTGGTATCCTTTGAGTGCATCCCATTGCCATATATATAGTCCTCCTCAGAGAAGCCAAAACGGCTAACTCTTTATTTGCTATAATAAAAACCCAATAAATTATATACGTTATAGTGAAACATTCATGTAAATTAATTCCGCAAGTTACAATATAAAATTTAAATAATGAAATTAAATAATAAAGGAATATTGAAATATTTATAACGAGTTTTAAAATCTTTCAAAAATCTCAACAATCTCCCACAAGATTTAAAACTTTTAAAATCATAAATGTGTGTATATAATATATAAAAATAATATGGGCAACATGATACTATGCAATGGGTGTAGGTGCCTTTTGAGTTTGAACTTTCACTTAGTGTAATTGTTTTCATTTGAAGAACCAGAATGAACTATGTCTTGAATTCGGCCCTTTGAACCAAACTTCAACACATTACACACATAATATCGACGAGAGACTTTGGCCAAGCGGGGTAGCGTTATTAATGATCATGCGTTGATATCTTGATTCTTATGAGAGTTACTAGAGAACAGCCCAATTCTTATAGTCGCGGTCTCACGACGGCTCTCACTTAGGTGAATCCTCCTAGGGTATATATGACCTTTACCCTGCAAGAGTATGTTTGCCTTGGAATCATTCAGGGCAGAGCCCTTCCTTAACGTTACATCACAACACTGATGCCATAGGGATGAACAGGAAAGAATCTTCTCGAGAAACTTCCTAATAAAATAGTGTTGTCAATGAGTCATGCAGTGCAGATTGTTTCTACCCATTGAATCTTTCGTCATGTGATTAAATCGCCAATCAGAAGGTTGGATTACCTCCGTAGGTGACTCCCTTAGGGCTTAAGCTCATCCCACTCGACATATCTATGACAATCTTCCAAGAAATAATTTTTATTTTTATTTATTTATTTTTTTTACCTCTTGTTCTTCTTCTCATATCTCAGTATATTTTCCTTAAGAAATTACATGTTTCCCATTCACATATATGTATCTCATTTGTATGTATCCATGCACCTTGTTCTTTATAAGGTGTTAATTCAACAAATCAATATCACCTTATAATGTATCAATCTTATAGACATTGGCTTATCTATTAAAGTTAGGATATGTAATAGGAATTTGTTCCACACAATCTTGTGATTCAAATAGTATCTACGGCTAAAAAATAAAAGTAAATATTATGATTCATGGTACTCCACTGATAGAAATTTATTTGATTTCTAATTAATTGGTTATCCAATTTGCATCACTATATCTTTCCACCATAATTGAAAAAACCTTTTATAGCACAAGGAGTAATCTTTTGTGATTTGATTCTATCTAACATCATCAAATGATTCTTAATCAGATTATGTGAATATCTACTAAGTTTATCAACAGATAGGCAATACCAGATTTGATACTTGGTAAAGATAATTCTCTTAAACATCTTTTCAAAAATAGTACAGTGATATCTTGAGAAATTTATTTCTATTTTCATACCTAACATCAATGATGTCTCTTCAGATCCTTTATTAAAAAAAATCCAGAGGTAAAATTTTTAAGTTTATCTCCAAAAAAATAATGTCATCCACAAAAAAACTTTTTCTCCATTATTTCCTTTGTTACACACTTACCATCATCATTAATCTATAGTACTCTAATTAGATTAAAATATCTCTTGCCATTGATTCCAAAGCTTGTCAAAGACCATAAACGGATTTACTGATCTACACACCAAATTTCTTGTCATACCTTTTTCCTTTTAACTAGATTCAAGTAAGATTACTTTAGCTAAGCACCCCCACAGTTTTAGGATTTTTGGACTATAATCCATTGATCTCTTAATTTTTTTTTTTTTTTTTTTTTTTTTTTTTTTTTTTTTTTTTTCAACTAACATGTCCAAGTCTTTCATGCAAAATATCATATAACTCAATATTGAAAAACAAGAGGAGAATTATTTAATAAAAACATTCAACATAAACAAGCCTTCACTGACTTAACCTCTCCCACAAAATATAGATATTTCAAATTACAAATCTATTTGTTTCATTACAATAAACCATAGAAAATCCATTAACTAAATTTCTCCTCATATTGGGTAGGTGTCGCACATCCTCAAAGTTAGAATCTTCCGGGATTTTAATTCCATGTCTCCAATCCTATGAACTTGTGCGGCGTATCCTTTCCTAGTATTAAACTTCCACTACTTGAGTTCTGATAAAATAACAACTATATATATACATTATCTCACATTTTAGTCACCATCATAACTACTATGATAAGTAAGATTCACTCTTAAAGAATTTAAACTATACCTTAAGGAAGGTTCACCAGAATCTTGACCCACCAATATATTCACTTGTTCTCGTGGATGCCTTTGATTATTGGGCTGATACACCTCTGTCTTCTTAAAGTAACAATCCTTAGCCACATGATTACTCCTTCCACAAACATAGCAAGGTCTTTCTTTGCCTTTATCTTTCGAATTAATATGGTTATGACGAGGAACATTAAGATCTTGATTTGGACGACGGAAGTTGTTCCTATTATTTCTCTTTGAAAAATCTCCCTCTAGGTTGAAAATTTCCCCTATGATTGGAAGTAATAGGACTCTCAACAACATTCACTCTAGTGGTGGTAGTAACTTCTTTCTTAGTACTAGATCTATAGTTTTCCTCAATTCTTATAACCATATTAAATCGAAAGATAAAGGCAAAGAAAGACCTTGCTAGTAACTTCTTTCTTAGTACTAGATCTATGGTTTTCCTCAATTCTTAGAGAATTGATTACATGGGTCAAAGTAAGATCACCTTGCTTATGTCCAAGTGTTCTTGCAAAATCTATCCAACTAGAGGGTAACTTATCTATAAGACAAGATACCTTAAAATCTTCACCTAACTTAGTGCCATTCCTCTCTACTTTCCTCAAGAGTTATTGGAATTCATGAATTTGCTCACTAATGGATTTGTTATCTACCATCATATAGTTATTAAAGTTTGTCACCGAGAAACGCTCTATACCCGCATCAATTATCCTATACTCAGCCTCCAAAACATTCCACAGTTCTTTTGCATTTTTAGTATTATGGTAGACATCATAGAGGTGTTCAGATAAGGCACTCAGTATTCTATTATAACAATGATAATCAGATTGTTCTTTTGACATGCTAGGAGAAGTTGAGGTTAAAGTTGGAGTGGCAGTAGCAGTGGTGATAGTGGTAGTTCCTTGGGGTTCCTCTATGGCAGATATTAACCCTAAAATCGTAAGCCAATATTTCATTTACCTTTGCCACCTCCTAAAGTGCCGGCTACTAAACTTTTCGGGTTTAACCGAATTAGCTTCCTCTTTATTCATTTTCTTTTCTTTTAAAATCTAAAGGCAAAGAAAGTTTCTAACAAACTGAAAAATTCAATAAAGGTTTGTCAACAACAATTGTACTTATATTTGAATTTACTAAAAGAACAGTTTCCAACTAACTCTAAACTTTCATTAATTACAAATAATATTTATATAAGTCAAAAGCTGAATTAAACGGAATACTGCTTTTTAACAAAATATAAATTAGACGTCTCATTTAAATCAAAAAGATGCACAATAAAAAATACACAATTTAAAATAAAAGTATTAACTTTTCACGCTTAAAACAGTTTCAATACAATAATTTAAATACCCATAACTGATTTCAATAAATTGACTTCTTTGATAACTGTTTTCTAATAATAAACTGATTTGTTTTTCAATAAATTGACTTCTTTGGTAACTGTTTTCTAATAATAAACTGATTTTTTTTTTAAAAAAAAATAAACTACCTTATATATATATATATATATATATATATATATATATATATGAAAAAAACTTAAACAGAATAGTTTGTTTCCTTATAAATTGAAAGAAAACGTAATTGTTCCTTATATATATATATATACTCAATGCTCAAATCAGTTCTAAAAACACCAATTTAAATTGGTAAGTGCCGGAAAACTGTTTTCTTAATAAATTGTTTCATTTTGAAAATAGATACCTTTCCAAAAAATTGACTTTTATAAAACAAATTATAAAATAAATAATGTTGAAACTGTTGTATATTTCAATAAATTGAATTCGTCAAACATAATCAATACAACTCTTTGCAATACTTTCTATTTATTTTTTAATATTATAAAGTGTATTGTAATTTAAACAAAACACGGTTCATAATAAAAAAGATTTAGTTCTTTTACCGATTAGGCAATAAGTCAAGAAGCTATTTAGAGAAACTATCAACTTTGCAAATATAATTTTATGCACTAAAATATTATAAACGAATCACACTAAAATATTATATAAATATAATTGACAATTAAAGTAAGTTTTGCAGAAATTAAATCAATGAAAATATGGTAGTTTTGTATGATATTACTTGCATACAAATATATATATATATATATATATAGACACACAATTTTAATATAATCGTTACATGTAAAAGAAATAAATCAAATAAAATATAAAAGTAAAGTTAAAGAAAGGCTGGCCTGATATAGAGAGACACGTGATAAACACGTTGACCTAAAGTTGATAGCCCTCCCCCATGTGCAGGTGTGGACGGTGCTAGTCAACTCTAAGATACAACCCGATCAGCTCTTAGCGGCACCTCCTCTATGTGCACGACCACATGAAGGAAAAAGGACCAAGTCTCCAATGTCGAGTTGCCCAAAATAGTGAAATATATGTGAAATATGTGAAAGATATTGATAGAATAATCTCTAGAAAAGTAATACGCAAATGTGGTAGAGTAGTTTGGTATATGCCTTTGAGTGCATCCCATTGCCATATATATAGGCCTCCTCAAAGAAGCCAAAACGGATAACTCTTTATTTGCTATAATAAAAACCCAATAAATTATATACGTTATAGTGCAATGTTCATGTAAATTAATTCCGTAAGTTATAATATAAAATTTAAATAATGAAATTAAATAATAAAGGAATATTGAAATATTTTAAATGAGTTTTAAAATCTTTTAAAAATCTCAACATAAATACCGCTACACACCTCCATGGACCAGACAATTCGATTGGTTTATACCGATATTCACCCGAATTCGTTACACTGCGACCGCAACCGATGCTGCAACTATAGTTATAGATGATATGATGTTCATGTTATGACGTGCACATATTTGGAATATTTTAGTATATTTCGCACTTATTATGTTGTTTTAGTGCTAAGATATGATATTTATTCATTTTGAACTCTTTGTATTATGTGTTAGTTTTTAAAACATAGTGAAATCTCTACAACTCATGGACGTAATTTGAACTTTTGAGTGAACCATGTAAAACTTATTTGATCTTACTCGTGTGTTTGATCTATTTTTGCAGACACAAGAAGAGAAACAGCAATCAATGTAGCAGATTGGTATTATATACAGATCATCTTATAAAAAACTATAAGATTGAAGAGGAAAATTAAGAATGAACTGTTGAATAATTTATATATTTAACTTGCATCTTTTCTAACAACTTAACCTTTTGAAATAGATGGTAGTTAGTTTTTAGAGTAGCTGGTAGTTAACATAAACAACACAAGAATATAACATGAATCGGTCACCACGACCTACATCTACGGCACACAAAATCTAAAGAGCTACCTATTTTTCATTATATTCTCTCTTAACTTCGTTTACAATGATCACCTCAATAGAGGTGAAAGAATACAAACACATGATAAATATAAAAAAAAATCCCTAAAATCAATCCCCAAAACACTACTATCATATTCTATGGAGGGCTAAAATAGCTCCTATAATGATGTTGTCCAACACATCTAATATTAAACCCTCCCAAACATTATTACATATCATGAAAGAACTTGTAAGTTTCAACATCATCCACAATAAACTTGACTGCACCAATGCAACCCAACACTGCAACAACTGAGAACCAGGCAGCGATTGTGATGTTGAGGGACAGCAGTGAATATCGCATTATTTTGTTTCTGGGAGTTCTACCAGCTTTTATTTGCGCTAAAACCGGGAAGACAAAGTCTAGTGGAGTAAATCCTATAGCTCCACAGATCGCAACGAAATCACCAAAGAATGGCATGGCCGCGGCAACAAGTGTTATAAGGACAATGTAAATCGAGGTAAACATGAGGCGGATGAGGCGTGTCTGGAGAAGGAATTGGCTATTAGTTTTGTCTGATGGCATTCTTTCCTCGAAATAGGCATAAGTTGGTCTGCAATATATCTGAAATAAGAAGATGAGATGTTCAAGTCATTATCAAAGGCTGATCCTAAAAGCTGACAAAAGAGAGATAATTTTAAGTTTGAATAAATTCTATGTTATATTTCAAAATAAATAACAGGTTGAGCGGGTAAAACACAATGAATGCTCAGCACAAATGCAGAGTAACAAAGAAAAGGAAAAAATAAAAAAGAAGCATATATTATAAATCTGGACAACTCCACCCATATCGACTTTGGGACCTCATGTAACAAATGCCCCAAGCCTAAAAACCTTATATTGATTGTAATCTTGAACTTTAATTAAAGATCAAACCTTTATAAATACAAATGTATTATTCAAAACTATTGCCCAGTTTCTCAAATTATCCTCTACATTATTCGCAAATGTACTACCACAGCTCCTGATATTCAAATAGAGGAATTTCATACTTAACCCTTACAGTTATTATTAAAATGTCTGCATTGAAGAAAGAAGGATTTCTCATGGAAGCATCGTCAAACAAATATTCTGAACAATATTTTGATTTTTGACCTTTTCTTAGAGATAGTCACCAATTGTATATTAGATTATAATTGACAACAAGGGCTCAAGATTAATGCATATTAAATAATAAAAAAGAAAAAACTCAGCAAAGCATGTGATTGGCTTCTCTCATGCTACAGGTTTTGTGGCACCATACAAAGTTCCAGTCTTTTACTTTTTCTTTTTCTCCAACAACCATCTTTGCATATGCTGCTATTTATTTATTTAACAAGATCTTCTAACTTTCACAGAATAGCAGATCTGTAGTGTGATAAGAGTATTCTGTTTTAGCTGCTTGGTAATGTCACCATTATGAAGGAAAAAGGAAGTTTTTATTTATTTATTTATTTTATTTTATTTTTCCTTCCTATGTTTGCTTTAATTTCATTTCATTGTCAAATGGATTCAGTTGGTAGGGCTGTGAATGAGCTTGATTTTTTTTTTTCCTAGTTGGTACTCACACACACATGCCTCCACTGAGGCTCAAACCCCTAACCTCCATTTGGGAAGTAGGGACTTGGTACTGCTAGGCCACTGGCGTGTTGGTGAATGGGCTTGATTTATTTATCTCTAGAGTGAGCTTCTAATCAAGCCAATCTCAACTGGAGCTTGAGTGGTTTAATCTTTTATTAGTCTTAGGATGTACATCAGCTTATAGAGTCACCTTCCATCTGCGCTTCACCCCCCCCCCCCCCCCCCCTCGCGGTAAGATTAACGAGCTTTATAATGTGCTCTAGGTTGCGTTGGGTTTGTGGCTCGAAATCTGTGTGAACGTGGTTCTGGAAGAATTGGACCAGTCCAACTTCTGCAGGCCGGTCCAATGTGGTTGTGAATTGAAGAATAAGATTCTGGTGGAATTGGACCGGTCAAGGTATTACGAACCGGTCCAACCTGCCTGATGAGTGTGGGAGACAGTTTCCTTTTCCGTTTTGAAAACCCGGAGACTTGAGGAGAAAGACTGAATATTTGGGAAGGAAATTGTGGTTTATTAGGCTCCTATTTTAGAGTTGTGATTGATATAGTAACTCTTTGGTAGGCAAGTCGTGGATAGAGATTGGGGGGGGGGGTGGTTGGGTTGTAAGGGTGAGTGTTGTGTGGAGAGGAGAGCCTGGAAAAGAGTGAATGAGTGGGATATTGGGTTGTAAGGGTGAGTGTTGTGTGGAGAGGAGAGCCCGAAAAAGAGCGAATGAGTGGGATTTTGACATCTATTGTTGTATATTATCTTCCTTGATCATAATAGTGCAATCTCTTCTCCGTGGACATAGCCCTAGAGTTAGGTGAAACATGTAAATATTGTGTTGTGTGTGGATGTATATGATTGTTATCTCCATATATGCTTGTGTGATGATTTGATGGTGATGCTTCTGCTGTGTATGAAGAAAGAGGGATTTAATTCTCAACAACAACTAGCCAATAGTTGGTTGGAGGGAGTTAATATCCCTAACAGCTTGGCTCATATATTGAAAAGTCAATCTCGAGTGAGGCTCTAACCAAACCAATCACAAGCAAATTCAGGCAAGTGCTCGTTAACAAAATCTACATGCATGTGATCATGCAATTAAAGTCTTTTAATTTACTTATTTTGGGAACTTCTTTGAGAAGTTTATTGTTGTCTATCAAAAGAAACTCATGCAAAAATATGTTTCATAATTTCATTTCATTGTCACCATTATGAAGGAAAAAGGAAGGTTTTTTTTTTTTTTTTTTTTTTTCCCTTATGTTTGCTTTAATTTCATTTCATTGTCAAATGGATTCAGTTGGTAGGGCTGTGAATGAGCTTGATTTATTTATCTCTAGAGTGAGCTTCTAATCAAGCCAATCTCAATTGGAGCTTGAGAGGTTTTATGTTTTATTAGTCTTAAGGATGTACATCAGCTTACAGAGTCACCTTCCATCTGAGCTTGTAAGATTAAAGAGTTTTTTTTCCCCCTCGGTAAGATTAACGAGCTTTATAATGTGCTCTAGGTTGGGTTGGGTTGTGGCTCTAAATCTGTGCGAACGTGATTCTGGAAGAATTGGACCAGTCCAACTTCTGCAGACCGGTCCGATGTGGCTGTGAATTGAAGATTAAGATTCTGGTGGAATTAGACCGGTCTAAGTATTACGGACCAGTCCAACGTGCATGATGAGTGTGAGAGACAGTTTCCTTTTCCATTTTGGAAACCCGAAGACTTGAGGAGCAAGACTGGGGATTTGGGAAGGAAATTTTGGCTTATTAGGCTGCTATTTTAGAGTTGTGATTGATATGGTAACTCCTTGGTAGGTAAGTCGCGAGTAGAGAGGGTTTTTTTTTTTTTTTTGGGGGGGGGAGGGGGGGGGGGGGGGGGGGGTGGTTGGTGTTGGGGAAGATGTAATGGTTTGTAAAAGTGAGTGTTGTGATGAGAGGAGCGAGCATATGTAATTTCTATGGATGTAGCCCGGAAAAGAGTGAATGAGTGGGGTTTTAACATCTGTGGTTGTATATTCTCTTCCTTGATCATAATAGTAAAATCTCTCTCTCCGTGGACATAGCCTTAGAGTTAGGTGAAGCATGTAAAATATTGTATTGTGCGTGGTTGTGTATGATTGTTATCTCCATAGATGCTTGTGTGATGATTTGATGATGATGCTTCCATTGTGTAGGATGAAAGAGGGATCTAATTCTCAACAAGAACTGGCAAATAGTTGGTTGGAGGGAGAAAATATCCCCAACAGCTTGGTTCGTTTATTCAAAATTCAATCTCTAGTGATGCTCTAAGCAAACAAATCACAAGCAAACTCAAGAAAGTGTTCTTTAACAAAATTTACATGCATGTGATCACGCAGTTATAGTCTTTTAATTTACTTATTCCGTGAACTTCTTTGAGAAGTTCATTGTGGTCTATCAAGAAAAGAAACTCATGCAAAAATATGTTTCATAAATCATTAATGAATCCAGATATAATCAACTTTTAGCTAATTTGTCCATAAAAATGTACTGAAAAATACCTGATAGCATCCTGATATCTGAATCACAGCAAATAGATTAGCCATAACAGTTGTCCAAGCTGGAGTAGTAAGAGAAGCCACAATATAAGGCTGAACGTCTGTACCAAATGCCCAGAAACCAAAAAAGGCCAACTGCCAGTAAGTCGAAACAATTATGCTGTATGCCACTGATACACCTTTATACATGTTCTTCTTTGCAGGTTCCTTCACAGTACTCTGGCAAGATAAAGATCATATGTCGTCCACTTAGTTATTTCAATTTATCTTACAGAAAGACCAGTTGTCTCTATAAACTTCATAAGGAGTTTTGTAAACAAATGCCAGTAGTTTTTCAACATTCATTATCAAAGGATCATGAGAGGAAAGACTATTTATAAAATTTAGGTCCAAGATAGTGATATTTTACTTGTATTTCAGGAAGCATTGCATCTCCAAATGAAAAGGCGATTGTGCCAAGGGCACTGAAGGCTTTGAACATCTTAGACGAGGAGCTTCCTTGCAAACTATAGCTAACTGATTTTCTATCAATCTTTTTCCCTACAATACAATAATTTATTAATATGAATGTTGTACCCACAAAGACGTAATCTAAACTAGTCTACTTAAAGGATATCAAGTTTACCATTATATATTGTAACACCAATGGTTGTGCCGGCAAAACCGATAGTGCTGAGAGTGCATAGTGCATTTACCCATCTCAAGGAATGAATGTTTGGGAGCTGAGAGAGAAAAAGCTCAAAAGCCCCAAAAATAATAATGAAATGCTGCAAAGTTAAGGAACCATCCTTATGATAGTATTTGTATACTGCCTGCACATAATACAGGGAAAAAATAGTAAATATAATATTACTGGTCCCAATTATTTGTATGATTAGGTAAAGCTGATCTCATCAGAATATATGACTTACCTTAAGGCTGCTTCCAGCAGCAATCTGAATGGCAATGTTATTACCCAAGGAAGCCACCTGCTGAAAAAATGCAATAGACCAGAAACCCCAGGATCCTTCAAGATCAGAAAAGATGATTATAGTCTAGATAAAAATGGATGTAAGAAAAGAAGAAAATATGATTATATACTAGATAAAAATGGACAGAAGAGAAGAAGTTAATGAATATTGTTGGATACTAAATATTAAATGCAATGACGAAACAAGATTTGGAGAAAAACAACCATAGGATACAACTTGGCCTGTATTTAGATCCTTTCAGCTCAGCTGTTAATAATTTTAATGCACCCCTCCGAAAAAAAAAAAAAAAAAAAAAAAAAAAGTAACAATCATAATATGAAGCTAACTAAATAAGCATGTTATATATCCATCAACACTAAATACATATGGTCATGTAAGCAATGATCTCAATCAATATTACCCACTGTTGCCAAACTTAACAACTCTACAGAATCGTTAAAAAAACCCAATTGTGATGTCAGAGAGGGTCTCTAAAACTGCCTTGGCAACAAAATTGAGACAGATCAAGCAATATTTTAGTTGGGTTTTTTGCAAGATATGAAGCTGCTTTCAAATAGTAAATTCAGGAAACATGTAGATTATAGAAAAAAGCCTGTAGTGTAAACTTTTTTTTTTTTTTTCCCCCTGATTGATACTACCCCCAAAAATAAAGAACCTACATCCTAACTGATACAAAAACATGTATAATTTTCAAAATGAAGCCGGTAAAATGAAGTTAACCATATATACTCCCGGCAAGATGTCGATATGTAGTCTGTTTCTTCCCGTTCCATCTCCATAACGATGCAATCAATAGACTGGAATACCATGTGGCAAGTGTTCCAGCCACCAAACTAGTCACGCCTGAACAAAGAATAATCAAATATCAAATTGCCAATAACTGAGACTGAAAAATTCTCAGAGAACCATCTGAAATTGCATCACAAAAAGCAAGGTCAACAATTGGAGAATCACATAGTACTTGCAAATTTTAACTATAAGTGAGAACAACTTGAGATTAGCTTTATCAGCATCATCATTATTATTATTATTATTATAGAAACAATCCCATTACAGGGTTACATAAGATTGTTCAATTCATTACCATTTTTTTAATTATTTTTTTATAAACGAGCATAATTGTACTATAAAAACAAACCCATTAGAGAGTTACATGGAGCATATCCCAAAATCAAATAAAGACCACGTCCACCAATCAAGAATGAAAAAAATAGGGTTTGAAAAACAAGAAGCCCAAATGCAATTCATTACCAAATTGATACACACAAACACATGTATGCGAGGGGATTTGAGAATGAATTACCGAGATACCAGCCGAGAGAAGCGACGGCGAAAGGGAGAGGAGCATAAGCGGCGGGGGTGGCGATGGTGGTGGCGACATGGAAAGCGGCGTGCTTCCATGTGCCTTTAGCTACTGCTGCTTCTTTTTCTTCATCATTAACCGTAGAATTTACATCTACTGTTGATTCTGTATCGAGAGAGTGGTTTGAAGCCATCTCACATCTGGGTTCTTCTTATTCAGCACTACTGATACTAGTTCGATTGGCAGAGTGAGAAACAGTACCAAGAAGTATATAAAATCGGCCATTGATTTATATGTATTTGACTTTTGTTGCGATAAAGATTCAATGGTTTGCTTTCAAACTTTGAAAGTCGCACATATATATATGTATGTATATTCTGGCTGGGGAAAAGCGGCTGAAATGATGAAGTCAGTTTCCCAGGACAAAACAGTTCTTCTGTTTGTTTTATGTTTACAATGTATAATTAAATTGATCACTTTCACTAGTGATTAAAATAATTAATTTTTTTTACATAGAGCTGTCAAATTTATTTATTGTTTTATTTTACGTTAACTTCTTTTTTTTTTAAAATTTTTTTTTTTGGGGGGGTGGGGGGGGGGGACATTTCAAATTCCCCCCTCATCGTCAACGTTTGTCAAAGCTGAGTTTACCGGACAACACCTACAAAAATATTGATAATGTCCATATTGCCCTTCTCATTACACACAGATGAGAGTAACAGTTTCCCTCCAATTTAATTCATCAATCCCCCCACTCGAGGTGAACTGAGTTCGCTGCTGGTTTAGTCGAGGCTCAATGAAAAGAGCTCGCTGCTAGGTCTCTTGAAGCTTATCACACAACCCGAAGCTCACTGGAGCTGGGTTCACCGAAAAGTGAGTCGTTACCGTCGTGGTTCATGCATGAAGGAAACTTTGAAGCTCACAACTTAACTTTGTTCATCGTCGTGGTTCGTGCATGAAGTAATTAAACTTGGAGCTCACAAAACCAGCTTTGGTCCCTAGACTTGATAACGGATGCCATCACCGGAACACTTTGCCTGACCGAGTGAACGGGATGCTTCGTTGGACCTGCTCATCTCTAAGACACGTCGATTTTCTTCTCTGTTGTTCTATCGCCATCATCGGAGGTACATGTTACTTTGCTAGATTGAAATGGTGACTTCAACGAACTTGAGTTCGCCGGAGTGCACGTTGGAATCGCTTTGGGTTCACTTCAGTTGCCGAAGTTTATTGGGTCTCTTCTTGGTCTCGTTGGAAACAATGGACACGTTGCTCGGACTTGGGTCTGAAACTGTTTGGTCTATATTCACGTTCTTTAAGCTTTTGGTCAGAGTTGGGTTTTGAACTAGGTTCGCCGCTAAGTTGAAGTTCTATTCGTCTTTGTTGCAAAGCATAAAACGAAAGTCAAAAGAGAAATAAAGCAAGTAAAACAAAATATTATAACGTGATTTAACCACTAGGCTAGGGCCTACACCTATAGTACAAAAAGTCCAAAGGGCCTACATCACTTTTATAATATTCTCTTAATTCATATATAATACAATGGTGGATGCTCCTTTATATATAGGAGCAAAAATTATGAGAATTGAAAGAGATAAAAAATAGGAAACAATAAGGATTTTTTCTTCACTGATTCCTCCAATAATACTAAATCTTCAATAATAGGAAACAATATTAATTATTGAAAGACTTTCCTCCACTGATTCCTCTATTAAATCTTCAATACTCTCATCAAGTTGGAGCATGAATGTCCAACTTGCCATTGAGATAACGAGTAGCAACAAGTGTGGATAATGAAGAGAGAAAATAAAGAACAATACTACCGAACACACCGATAGCCCAAATCAGTCAACAAAAAATTACTGGAGACACAGCAAAGGTGAGGACAGTGCTACCGAACACACCGACAGCCCAAATAAGTCAATAAAACCTGCTGGAGACACTGCAAAGACGAAAATAATGCTACCAAATACACCGGCAGCCCAAACAAGTCAACAAAAAACTGCCGAAGACACGGCAAAGGCGAAGAATATATAATGTCTCGTTTTTTTTGGATTTTTATTTTAGTTATTTTTTGTGCCTTCTTTTGCGTGCCACGCGGGTCCCGAGGGCCGATTAGACTAATTTTTGAGTCGATGGTTTTAGAAGTTCATTTGAATTATTTTAAGTCAATTTGAGGCAACGGGATATTTTTTTTAGAATTTTCCAGAAATCGGGACGACTTTCAGGCTCGGGAACTTCTCTTGGTTTTCTTATTTTAAGTGAAGGGTGTTATTGGCATTTCACATACATATGCATATATATGTATCTATATATATTAGAGGAGATATTTATAAGACAAGGATGGTATTGCATTGGTTAAGTGAGGGAAATGACTAACTTGACATAAAGCGAAAACCATTAGGAAATTGACATGTGGCATAATATAGGCCATAGGTGTATTTGCAAGACCAAATCATTCTTCCTTCCTCTCCCATTCTAGGCCAAAGTTCTTTCTCCCTCTAGTCATTTTTCTTCCCTTTCTATGTCTATATACATCTATATACACACATGCTTCAAGGCCATTTTTTAAAGGTTTAGGATAGGATTTTGGTGATGACCAAGAAGGAATAATTGATAAGCTTGGCAAGGGCTATAAATTGGACATCAATATTGCAAGGGGTTTGGGGATTTCAAAATTTTGGCTTGCCCTAAGGCTATGTTTGGTGTGAGTGAATGTAATTAAATGAAGGTGGAATGGAATGCATTTGTTTCCATTCTCTTATTTGGTGTGTCACATTAAAAGTGGAATGGCCATTCCTAGGGAATGCCCATTCCATCAAAAAGGTGGAATGCCCATTCCACTTCTTAAGAGGTGAAATGACCATTCTATTCCCACTAAGAATTAATAAAGTAATAAAATAATTTAAAGAGATAATTCATGCATATACACACTATATAAAATATAATATATATAAATAATATGTATCTATATGCTGTTTGTTCCCCCTCTCTCTATCTCGTTTATTTTTCTCTCTTTATTATCTCTTTCCCTTTTATTTTTGCAAATTAATTTTTTTAGTTAATTTTTTTTACTAATAATAAAATGTAATTTAAAGAAACAATATAAATTCATTCTATTCTAACTTTCTTACCAAACATAGGAATGAGAATGAGATTCCATTTTTACACATTCCATGTTTACAACCAAACGGTGGAATGAGAATCATTATTTTCATTCCATTCCCACCTCCATTCTCATTCCATTCCAATTCATTCCACCACACCAAACATGCCCTAAGGCCTTATTTGGCTAGCTTTTTGAGGTAGGGGTTTTCCTACTGCCTTGTACTTTGTATTTCATTGAGTAATTATGCTTTGAATTCTCTAATTTTCATTCTCTAATGTAAGGTTATGAACATGATGATGTTGCTATATTAATGAATGGAAAAGCATATTTATATGTGTTAAAAAAGTTGTCATTTCATGCTAAATGCTAAGTGTTAGCTTGATATAGTTGATGTGGTTTACTTGATGAGCATGCTATCACAAATGTTGGAAAATGATATGCTTGTAGTTGATTTCTATGATGAACACCATGCTTGTAGCTAAATTGTGAATAAATGCCATGTTTATATTCATTGTATTGGGAATGCCGTGTTTATGCCATGGTTATCATACATGTGAAGTTGAAATCAAGTTAATGCAATTACATTCATATACATGGCATGGTGGGGAAAATTGAATGAGAAACACATTAGGCCATTTAGAATGGTGAGAAAGTTGAAAAAGAATGAAAAGTGAGCCATCTTAGAATGAGCGGAAAAGAGGAATTTAGATTTGAATTAGGTATCGCTAGCCCGGGGCTAATTTGACCTAGAGGGAGCGCGGTCTGGTGTAGCACATGTAACGTTGGTACTAGGCACCAAATGGTTGTTGGATTTGGAACCAGGGATAATATCAATTTCACCTCGGTAAAGTCGGTTAGCGAAGGTGGGGGATTGGGGTCGGTTTGAGACCAAGCTTTGGAATGGTTATGCATTACATTACATTTGCATTCATTGTGTGTAAGTTGTATCTATGCCATTAATTGGATTGAAATGTGGTTTAAATTCCGTAAAATCCCCAATGCATTATCCTGGCTATCTTGTAGTCCCATTATGTGTTATGTGGCTCAAGGGAGTCCAAAGTTAACGCCTTAGGAAACTTCTACTGAGCCTCCGTGCTCACCCCTTGTGATACCCCTCGATTATAGAGTTACGGGTGATTAAATCCGAGCACAGATCCGAGGGATACCAAACAATTAATATGTAAATAAGCAAGAGTACAAAAGAATTAAAAATAAAATAATACACTAAAAAGAATTCTAGATATAAAAATCCTCCAAAATAATAGATTAATAAAATTTAATTTTTTCAATCCATACAACTCGGGAATCCATCCAGTGGACCCCTAATAATTTCAATTGAAAAATAAATTACAGAACCAACATCTAAACTATAATATAAAAGGAAACCTTATGTAGTCGGAAGAGTGAGTGACTGTATCTGCTTCATCACGATTAAGCTCTAAGCCTGATACTGACGAACACCTGAAAAAAATAAGAGTGGGTCAGACCCACATGCAAGTTCCATCCTACTACAATCCATACATAAACCCGATACGCAGATACATCCTAGATAGCTCGACAATAACTAAAATAGTCCATATAGATATAGATATACATTGTATGATGCTCATTAGCCTATATTGTAGTTCAGCCTGTACAGAAGGAAACATGTAAATCACACTTTCTAGTGGCCATGTACATCTCCTGTCAGGGAACATCAACAATATCCAGTTACCCATCTTTAGCGATATACGCACCCGAACCATGATCCTGAGACTCAAGCTCATATCACAGTACCATAAGTATATATACAAATCATTCCTAATGCAGAAAAATAAAACAAACATCCGTTATGTCATTCAACTATTTTTGTTGACAGGACATGCATCTATGTAGGATTTAACTGTTTTAGTTAATCCATTCCATATGTATGAAGATGTTGGACTTAGCATTTTGATCTAATCCATCCCTAATATGCCACCGTCCCATACCGGTGCATATGATGCATATGATCCATAAATGATGCACACTCAAATGAACATCAAATACATCCAGAGACAAACATAATAGAAATCAGATATAGATAAGATCCTATCATGCATCCAGTAAATGATTATAATCATAGAACCTCCGTTTAAATTGCTAGAGTAAAGTTACACAATTTAAACTATTCATATCCATCCAATTGACAAAATAGATATTATAATCGTTTATCAATTTAAAATCCATAGCATGTTATAATGATAATTAGAATTATTAACTAAGCACATTATACAAAAATCCCATAAATCCTTTCATACTAGTCCATTAAATTTACTAAACAAGACTAGCAAGTTAAACCT